TCTCTATTTCATTTATTTCTGCTTTTCATTATTTCCTTCTCCCTACTGGCTTTTGGTTTCCTTTTATTTATTTATTTATTTTAGTTCCTTTTGGTGTAAGGTTAGATTGTTGAGATTTTGTTTGTTTTTAGAGGTAGGCTTCTATCACTGTAAATTTCCCTCTTAAAACTGCTTTTGCTCTCTCCCAAAGATTTTGGGCCAATATGTTTCATTTGTCACCACATATTTTTTTGATCTCCTCTTTGACTTCTTTGTTGACTCATTGGTGGTTTAGTAGCATGTTGTTTAGCTTCCATGTGTTTGTGGATTTTTTTTCCATTTTTTTTTCTTGTAATTGATTTCTAGTTTCATACTGTTGTGGTTGGAAAAGATGCTTGGTATTTTTCAGTTTTCTTAAATTTATTGAGACTTGTTTTGAGGCCTAACATGTGATCTGTCCTGGAGAATGTTCCATTAAGTACTTGAAAAGAATGTGTACTGTACTGTTTTTGGATGGAATGTTGTGTATATATCTGTTAAGTCCATCTGGTATAATATGTTGTTCAAAGCCACTGTTTTCATACTGCCTGTATGATCTATCCACTGTTATAAAAGTCTCCTAATCTTATGTCAGATTTCTGTCAATTTCCTCCTTTAGGTCTGATAATATTTGCTTTATATATGTAGGCGGTTCAATGTTGGGTGCATAGGTATTTAAAATTGTTAAATTTTCTTGTTAGATTGATGTTGGGTATGTAGATACTTAAATTTGTTGGTGCGTAGGTATTTAATAGTATGTCCTTTTGTTGGATTGATCCCTCAATCATTATGTAATGCCTTCCTTTTTCTCTTGTTACAGTCTTTCCTTTTAAAGTCTACTTTGATATAAGTGTGCTACCTGGCTCTTTTTTTCCACTTTCATTTACATGGAATATCTTTTTCCATCCCTTCATTTCAGTCTGTATGTGTCTTTAGGTCTGAAGTGATTGTCTTTTAGGAAACATATAGATGGGCCTTGTTTTTGTTTTTCAGGTGTTTTTTTTTTTAATCCATTCAGTCACCCATTCAGTCTTTAGATTGGAGCCCTTAGACCATTTACCTTTAGAATTAATTATTGATAGATATTTATTGCCATTTTCTTTTGTTTTCTGATGGTTTTTCTAGTAATACTCTATTCCTTTCCTCCTCTTATTCTCTTTCCTTGTGATTTCTTATTTTCTCTAGTGTTATGCTTGGTTTTCTTTTTCGTTTTGTATATGTGTATCTATTACAGGTTTTCCTAAGTATGTAACAGTCTATATTAAGTTGATGGTCACTTAAGTTTGAACACATTCTGAAAGAACTTTTACTATCCCTGCTCCACATTTTGTGTATGTGCACATCTTTTTACAAATTTTTATTTTGTGAATCCCCTTGCCTTTTGTAATATTCTTGTTTCTAATTATAGTCCTTTCTTTTCTACTTAAAGAGGTCTTTTTAACATTTCTTGTAAGGCAGGTGTAATGGTGATGAACTCCTTTACTTTTTTGTCTGGGAAATTCTATTTCTCCTTCAGTTCTGAGTGATAATTTTGCTACACAGAATATTCTTGGTTGCAGGGTTTTTTTTTTTCCTTTTAGCACTTTGAATATGTGATGCCTCTCCCTTCTGGCCTGCAACGTTTTACTGAAAAATCAGCTGACAGCCTTATGAGGTTTTTCTTGTACATAAATATTTGTCTCTTGCTGTTTTTCAAATTCTCTTTGTTTTTAAACTTTGACATTTTGATTATTAGGTGTTGTGATGTTCATGATGTGGAACTCTCTGTGCCTCTTTAAACTGGTATCTGTTTTGTTCCCCACGTTAGGGAGGCTTTCAGCTATTATTTTTTTCAAGTAAGCTTTATGCTGTTTCTCTCTCTTCTTCTTCTGGGATCCCTATAATACTAATGTTTGTTCTCTTGACATGGTCAAAGAGATCCCTTAACCTATCCGCATTTTTTAAAAATTCTTCTTTCCTTTTGTTGTGCAGTTTGGGTGTTTTCCATTACTCTGCCTTCCTGATGGCTGATACCTTCTGCATCCTCTGATCTACCGTTGATTTCCTCTAGTGTATTTTTCATCTCAGTTATTTTATTCTGAAACTCTGATTGGTCCTTTTTTATATTTCTCTTTGTTGAAGCTCTCACTAAGTTCCTTCACTGTCATCTCCTTACTTTGCTTGACTTTCTATGTTTGTTTTTGTGAATTAGGTATAACAGCTACTCTTCTAACCTAGAAGGAATGTTGTGTATTGTTATCCCCTGTGTAGACTGTGTGTGCCTGGTGTCGTTGGCTGACTAGAGCTGATGTGTGCATATTCTGAGGCGTTACTGAAACTTTCTGCACAGGGGATGCCCTGGCAGGACACCTGAAGCTGAAGTGGGTGCAAGCCATGGGGTCTCAGGGCTCTCCACACAGAGATCACCCTGGTTCAGGCTCTACTTCTCATTTTAATTCTCTTGCTATGTCTACACCATCCACAGTATTGAATTCATAAAAGTCATCATTAGGGTTGGAAATCACCTTCTTTCAAATTCTTTTTAATGTTGTTATTTTGACCTCTTCCCATGAAACACCAATATTCTTTTTTTTAATGTATGTTTATTTATTTTGAGAGAGAGAGTGTATGCAGGGGAGGGGCAGAGAGAGGGAGAATCCCAAGCAGGTTCCATGCCGTGAGTGCAGAGCCCAACATGGGGCCTGAACCCACAAACTGTGAGATCATGACCTGAGCTGAAATCAGGAGTTGAATGCTTAACCAGTTGAGCCACCCAGGTGCCCCAAACCATCAAGATTCTTAATGGTGACAAGGGTGCTGTTGTCATGCATGGGCATAGTTGACTTACCTCTCTTCCTACCCTACAGTCCTCAGGCCCATGTTCCCTGCTTGGCTGCCTACCAGAGAACAACAAACTATGGAAATGCTCATTCTCTGTTTACTTCCTCAGTGAGCATGACCAAGAATTATGAGAAAATAACTTTAGTGGAGTCATTCATGCCAAGTCATAAATGACTGGTCGGTTTAGACCTCCAAGAAAAAAATTCAAATTCTTAAAGATTTTTTCATCCAGGTGAATCTTTAGTTGTAAAAGGGTTGTGGGGAAGGACATTATTCAGAAGAGTAATATAGATAACCTGAGTGTGGAAGCTCTGAAAAAACTTAGCACAGCGGGAGAGTAAGCAGCAAAGGTCCTTAGGCACCGCACCTGCTGCAGTGGATCATGAAATGAGTCATGGAATAGGATCCTGGGTGGCAGGTGCTAACCTTGCCCTGCACATCCTCTGCTTGTAGAGCAAGTGACATCGAAGGGTATGTCCAGTCTGTGTTACTGTCCCTAGAAGAGAATCCAGCAGAGTTACATGAACCATTTCAGGGGCAGCAGTTGTGGAGGGGGTGCAGTGAGTTCAGCTCCAAAAGTGCCAAATGCCACATCCTGTTTGGAGAAAGAAAGGAAGTTACCTCAGAAGATGGACCTGGTACCTTTCATCTCTCCTCCCTGTTGCCTCTTCTCCCATCTGGGACCAAGGCACTTCCATTCTAAAGGCAGAGTTGGGCTATGTATATACTAGACCTTGGGCTTCATCTGGCTTCATCTAGAAGAACACAAAGGCCACGTTGACCTTGTAGGAGGTCCACAGTTCAGTCATCTCGCCTGTGGGGGTCACCAATAGACGAGCCAATGGCCTTTTTAGGTAATCAGGGAAGTCATAGGACTTTGTTCCTACGGGAGAGATGTATTGTGATTCAGAGAGAAAAGCTAAATATTTAAAGATAACTTGCTTTTGAGCTAAAGTTGATTGAGAAAACAGTTTGCAAGGCAAAAGTTGTATTCATTTGGTAGAGTATCAAAAATTCACACTGTACTCGGTAGCTTTGTAACAAATGGTCTTCGTCTGTAAAGAAAATATATAAAGCAGCCATTCACAGAAGAAATAACAAGGTCCCATAATTATGGATCCCATTTTTATGACCTGCTATGCGTCACAGCCCTCAGTCACCTTTTGACATGTCAGTTTTGACATTTTTAACATGTCAGTTTTACATGATTATTTTTCAATGGTTCAGTCAAGCTGGAACGTTGTACCCGTTACCTGATATATAGGCAACTTGTGGCTATTTATTACAGCTGATGTTACTAAACCATACTAATCTTCCTTCATAGTACCACACACTCACCTGTCTTATTTTTCAAGTTAACTTATCCCATTCATTGAGTGGCTGCAAAGGCTTGGTTGTCCAAACGACTGGAAGGAGGTGGAGTTAGCAGGAAAGGAGCATGATTTTAAGCGTGATACAGCTAAATGCAACTTGGTAACAGTGTCTCACTTATAAACAGAAAAAATGCAACATCCCAAAGCGTGTATATTGTTTTCTAGTGTTAATGACTTCATCATTTGATGGATATTTAGTGAGCATTAGCATAAAATCATTAGCACACACAAAAAATCTGATAATGAGAAGGAACTAGGTGTTAAGCTGCATCCAAAGTTCAGATCTTGTGAATATACATTTTGTAAAATGACTCTGTCCATAATTGAGGAGCATTGGAAGAGATTTTTAGGATGGTTTTTTAGAAATCCTGGGCTTAAATTCCGATTATTTTTATACTACAGAAAAATTTTATAACCCATCTGAAATTTAAATAGATTATGTTAGCTTTATAAAAATTTTTTTGTTACGGCTTTTTGTCTTTCTGCATTTCTGCAAATGGTCAAAATGGGAACAGCTGAGTGGAGGTGTAGATGTCCTGGGTAAAAAGTGCATCCCTTGGGTATCTCCTTGCTCTCAGGTTCAGCCATTCTATAAGTGTCTGAATGTAATGGAGCATTTATAGTATTACCATTTGATGTACATCTTTCATCTGTTTATATTATCAGTGTAACTTCTTGATTTCTTGAGTCCTCAGAGCTTTTTGATTAAATTGTTTGGCTGGAAATGTGGCTAATACCATATTTAAAATTTCTTTCTCTTGTTTTACCAAACTTTTTGAACAACTTTAGATTCACAAGGTTCATCGTGATTCAGGAGACAATTCTCAGACAGGTGAGAATACTTCAATTTCACTCCACTGGCATTTGTGGGTTCAAGTCTGTAAATTACTCTGAAGAAATGTAGTTTGACACTCACCACCCCAGAATGTGGATTACTAAAATCTGAGTGTGGATATTGGAAGGCTGGAGAGCCAGCATAAAAGCAGAATCCCTTCAAAAGTTTGAAATCTTCATTCATGGCAACCTTTTCTACTGAATGCCTTTATCATGCTGGTTTTATTTTACTGGCTGGAGACCATATAGAGCAGATACACCTTAAAAAGAGAGTGGCCAGAAGTCCAGGAGAGAGACACTGTTGTTACACCCTGGTCAGGCTACCCGTTCTTCGTAGCTGTTGTTGTCTGTCTAATTAGAAAGTGTGGGTTGGCCTGTCATGGAAGTCCAGAGCACTGAGGTCCCATTTCAGTGTCCACTCCCTTGCTTTATACCTTGGGCAGTACTCTGTCTGACCCTTGGATTCCTCAACCCTCAAATGAGGAAATGACTAGATGACTTCTATATTTGAAAGGTCTGGATTTCTCTGATCATTAGAGGCAAAATTCAGTCTATCAGAAATTTAAACTTCTTATTCGTGTACACACACACGATATTCTTTCCTCTGTTAGTGGTTTCCCCAACCATTAGTGCATAAAGTTAGACCCTGGGCTACCTATTTAGTCCCTCTCCTTGACTCTAGGATGGACCATATTTTAACATACTCAGACTCAAGTTCATCTTCCTGAGCTTTAGTTTCTTCGCTTGTAAGATGAATTAACAATGTGCATCTCATTGTTATGAAAAATAAAGGAGAAAGTGTATGTAATATGTGACTGTACCTGCCGTTTAACTCTTGGATATCCTCCTTCCCTTCCTCTGCCCTTGCCCCTCCCTCCCTCCCTCCCTCTATGTCTCTGTCTCTGCCTCTGCCTCTCTCTCTTTATGTTTATCTCTTGTAAGAGTATTATTTTAATGAACTTATTAGGCGCCAAAAAATGTTGCAAGCATTTTCATATCCTTTACTGTGCCCAGCATTGCCTTGCACATATTAGGGTCAACAAATGCTCCCAAAACATTGATAAATTGAAACTATCCCATCTTACAAAACATAGGTTCCACTGTTTGACGTGCTCTTTGACTTGGAACTACCTACATAATCTCTCCAAGTTCAATTTTTCTCACTGGTAAAATGAAGATTGTACTATGTACTTGCAGAATTGTTATAATGATCACATAAGATAATTTACATTTAAAGTAAATATGGAAGCACAATGTCTGGTGCAGAGTAGGTGCTCAGTAAATGTTCGCTATTTTTTTTAATTATTGACACTATATCCCCTTTTGCCATTGAATAAAGATATTTAAATTTCCTTTATCTTTGTTTTCTTTGGTCTGTAAATTCATTCCAAAGCATCTCTTGGGAGAATGAATAATGAATTATTCGACTTAAATGGCCTTTATTGAAGAATAATTTCTCCAAACTTTTAGTAATTTCTGTTGCTACATTCTCTTAATTTCAGCTGAGATAATATCAGGAAGAACAAGAATTATATATCTTGGAGTAATTTCTAGTGAACGATTTAGTATTCAGCTAGCCAGGCATGGTCACAGTCATGAGACTAACTTCCCTACTTTGGTTTTATTTAGAAACTACATTTTCAGGAATGAGGTTTTTTTAATTTGGAATTTAATCTTTTTAAAAAAAATTTTTAGTGTTTATTTTTTGAGAGAGACAGCATGAGCAGCGGAGGGGCAAAGAGAGGAGACACAGAATCCAAAGCAGGCTCCAGGCTCTGAGCCCTCAGCACTGAGCCCAACATAGGGTTCGAACTCACGAACCATGAGATCTTGACCTGAGCCGAAGTTGGACGCTCAACCCCACTGAGGCACCCAGGCACCCCAGTCTTGAATTTAATCTTAAATCTTTATTCAGTTAGATTTAATTTATTATGTGGTAAAGGCTAGGAATGTATATGATTATTAAGTCCCTGAAGAGGCTAAAAAGGAATGTTTTGTGAGTCACCACTGTTAGTTTTTCAGGGTTTGAAAGATGCCATATGATCCTAACAATGTCATTTAAAGTACCACTACTTATAGGTGTCTTTACAAATACTGAAACTCCTATCCACGGCCAGGAAAATTATTAAGGCAGAATCCACAAGACAAGGCTGTATGGTTAAGGTGTTTAGATCAACTTCATAATAATTCTGCTTTTGTCTTTAGCTGTATAAATATAATTCAAGTTTAGTTGATGATTTAACTTTTTTAATTGAATCAGAATTTTTAGGACTCTAAAATAGTTAAAAAGCTGATCCAGAAAAAAAGTGAAAACAGACAAGAGAACAATATTATAACCTGATCCCACGTATGCCTAGAAAGAAGGTATATTTGCAAATGACCAGATGTAATTAATACCACTAGCCAGTACAAACTACATACTTCCTGTGTAGCAGGCACTGTGTTAAGTGCTTTGCATGGATTAACTCATTTATATCACACAGCAACTTAAGAATGAGATGCTGTAACCATCCCCACTTCATAGATGGAGATGTTGAAATACAGAGAAGTTAACACTGCCAGGGTTATACAGCTAGTAGATGATGGCATTTTGGAGACTTGAATTTTGGCAAGTTACTCTGGAACTGGTTCTATTATCTACTGCTCTCTCTTGTGCCTTTTTTGGTGTTAATAGACAATTATTTTCATATTATTTATTTATTTTGAGACAGAGATTGAGAGTGGAGGAGGAGCAGGAGGAGAGGTTAGAGAGACAGAATCCCAAGCAGGCTCCACACTGTCAGTGCAGAGCCTGATGTGGGGCTCACACTCATGACCTGCAAGATCATGACCTGAGCCGAAATCAAGAGTTGGACACCTAGAACTGACTGAGCCCCCAGGCCCACCATTAATAGACACTTCTTCAAAGAGCGTTATTGCACCTTTTTCTTCTTTCTTGGAATATGAACATTTACTGATGTATAAGAAATGTATTCTTCCTGCTGGAACCTGCGTGTGTGCCTCCTGTCTTGGCACAGTGGGGAACAATTCTGTGTTATGATTAAGTTTCTTTCCTTGCTACTGGGTTACTCCCACAAGAAGCCAATGCCCTGAAAATGCATGTTTCTGAAGGTAATTCTACTGCCCTGACATTTTTATCTCTTTGTCCTCACTCCATGCTTCAATATTTCATTAATGTGACAGCACATTTTGAGGGTTAAAGTCAGCAAAGACTAGTGCAGAACTGAAGTGCTTTATTCCCCTTAGAAAATAGGGACAAAAGTGAGTTGTGGAAATAGTTGGGATTATAAACCTGCCTTTTCTTCCCTTCCTTCCTGGGATTTTCACTATGCCTCATTTGATGAAATCACATCCTAAGGAGAACCTAGAAGACCATCTGGTGGACTGACCTTTCAGAGGGGCCTAAAATTAGTCCATAGTAGTTTCTCAAATAAATTCAAGTTTCTTTGTATTTCACTGGTATTTTACTTCTGCAAATATCTCTGTAACAGCCTTCCTGACCCAGTTACATTTACTGTCCTTCAGGTTGAAATGAACCCCCCCCCCCAAATTTCACCCAAGTTTTAATACTTATTTTTAAAAAAGATATTTTATTAATGGAACTAAAGAACTCTTGATAAAAAGCCTATTACCATTACATAACGGCCGTAAGAGTATCATTTTGCAATTAATATGATTGATAATTCTGTGTTGTTGATGAGTTGAAGAGAAAGTGGTTTGCTGTTTCTTGAAAGTATTTTATAGTGCTTAAAAAGGAACCTTGTTTTCATTGGCTAATGAGGGGGAAATGTGTCTAAACTTCACCTGTAAATAAGCTGAAAACTCACCTTCCATTATTAACTTGAAATCCTTAGAGTCTCATTCATTTAGATACAAGAACAGGAGGAAAGAGTCCATTGATGTGAAATCGATATCATCTCGAGGCAGTGATGGTAAGAAGTTTTTCAGATTTCTTGGCCTTTTTAAAGTATAGAAGATGACAGAGGAATATACTCAAGAATTTGTCAGCATATAAACAAAACCCCAAGCAGCAGAGTTTTGATGCAGCTTGCGTTTTTACTCCGTAAACTGAAAAATTTTTAGCACTTCTTACTTTTTTACTTTTTATAGTGTCTTCTCTTTGAAATGACTCCACACTTGTTCCATGATGGCCTAAATTGTGTTGAGCCATATAACCACCAGAGCAGCTCAGAGTTTTAATAGCCAGGTCATTTTTTTAATATAATAGCTAGATCATTCTTAAGTGGGAGTGGGAGAAAAGGAACTGCGGAGTCCTGACTTCCCAACTTCAACACTTCCCAGTTTTCAGTGTACCTGTTACACACCCTTACCTTTAATAAAATGTCATAGAAATACTGTGGGACATAATTTAGCACAACAGTTCTGCTCTGCTAAACATAATTTAACCAAAACATTATTTGAGTTCAAGCACGCCTTAAAGAGGAATCATTTGGATTTGCAGGGAGGGGGGAAAGTCCAAGATGACTTTGACATTTCATTCCTAGGTACCTGGGAAAATATGAGTAATATTTTCAGAAATAGGAGTCTCCATGTATGGCCATGTGGGGGGTTGAGGAGAAAATGATTATTTTTATTTTAATGAAGATGCCAAGGAAGCTAAAATACAAGACTAGTACTGCGGGCTAGAGGTGTGGATTTGGGAGCCCTAGGGGTGATAGATGATGCTTTGAGCAGAGGAACATCTGTAAGGGGTGTGTGGGGCGGGGAGGGAGAGAGGGAGGTGGGGAAGAGAGAGAGAAGAGAAAAGAAAAGAAGGTCTAGGTTCTAGATTTGAAGGCATTCTTTCAGTTAGAGGAGAGGCAGGAGAAATAGGGCCAAGGAAGAGCACAAGAGAACTGGGGGTGAGCCACGAACAAGAGGGTAGCAAGAGAAGGGAGATGGCCAGCAGTATTATATGCTGCAGAGATCAGTGAGCTTAAGCACTGAGAACAGATCAGTGGATTTCACTCATCCATTCTAGGGGCATGAGGAGGGGTGGTGAGTGACTGTGATAGAAAGGAGAGAAGTAGGATGGTAACTTAAGGGAATAAACTGGAAGGGCAAGTGAAGGACTTTTCAATCCTATGGGTCACAATGGGAAACCTGATTATGAGGGAAGTGGATAAACTAGGAAGGACTGAAGACTTTAGAGACAAGATGAATAATTCATAGAGGAAAGAGGATAAATCATAGGGTATGCAAAGGATAGGGGCCAAAAATGTAAAACAAAATTAACTGCAATATTTTCAGATGTAAATAGAACATTTTAGATGGACAGGATAATGGATGAGAGAATTTGAACTAGATTAGCTCAGTTTTCAGTGTAAAGTTTGAGAGGGGACCATCATCTCTCCAGAACATGGAGAAGTAGAGGTTGTAAGTACAGAAGAAGGCTGTAATGATGGCTGAGCAGCAGGTAAGCTTTCTTGATATTCGCTAGATTAAGTTATCCCATTTGTAACATGAGGATTTTATCCCTCCTTCCTGCCTCACAGGCAATGGTAGGATGAGCTGATGGGATCAGAGCTCTTACTGATTTATTTATTTTTAGGTTTATAATTATTTTTTAAAATTTTTATATTTTATTTAAATCTCAGTTAGTTAACATATAGTGATGATGATTTCAGGAGTAAAATTTAGTGATTCATCACTTAAATATAACAGGGCTTTTAGGGTACTTTCTCCCTTTGGAATTTTTACCTACATGTAAGCATTACATGTTCAAAACAAACAAACAAACAAACAAAAAACAATGGAGAAGATGGCTGAGTAGCACGAACCTTACCTTATCCCATGGATACAGCTAGATAAAATCCACATCAGTATAAATAACTCAGAAAATAACATGAAGACTGGCAAAACAAACTTCACAGCTAAATGTAGAGAAGAGGCCACAGAGCGGAGACTAGAAAGAATAGAAACATGTTTGGGAGCTAACAGACCCATGGGAGGGAGGGATGGCAGACTTGGAGAGAGGAGAGAAATAGAGCCTCATGCCAGGCACCCCAGGCACAGGGAATCCCCATAACATTTAGCTTTGAAAGCGAGACGGGGGAAATTTCATGAACTCTTACAATTAGCAGGCTTAACATCTGAACTTTAAAAATCAGTCGGCTCTGAGAGAGCCAGAAGGATGAGAGGAAACGGAATCTCTGCCCTTACAGAAATAGAACAACAGACAGCCCCTCAGAAATACAGCATAGAAACCACATCTTGAATAATGCCTGGAGTATACCGGAGGGAGGGTTGTTTAGTAACCGCAGAGAGTGTGCTGGAGGGGCAAGGATTGACCATTGGAAGACTTCTCCAGAAGCAAAAGAGCTGGAAAGCCACCATTTTCCTCTCCCACCCCCACAGCCTAGATACATGGATACCTGCTGGAACCACCTTAGTGCTCACATTCAATACCTAACTTGTTAACAGTGCATCCCACGCTTGAGTTTTCTTGCAAACTCACCCTCTCCAGCCAGGCTCCGCCTGTAGGTCTCTTCACACAGCAGACCCACACAAACCCTGCTAACACAGTGTGACCCACCCTCATGCTTTCCTCTGGACCTGCTCCCTCCCAATAGACCCTTGGCCAGAGCACATCCAAAGCAGTGCCACAAGTATGTCATGTGCAAGCAGCCCCAGTAGGACCAGCACCCTCCAAAGTGACTCCTGACTTGGGTAGAGGTGAAGATAACCACACCCACCAGTCCAAGTACAGCCAGGCACATTGCTAGGGGCAGAGATCTGGTCCAACTGCAGGCCTTGCCTGCCAACAAAAGCTTCACAAGGGACAATACAGGGAAAGTGCCCTGAAATTCACTGATACTGCTTCTCTGCAAAATGCATGGACTGACCCAAACCCGAGGTGGTCCCAGACTGGCCTACTAACAACACAGGGACCAAACAAACCCTGACCACAACAGGAAAAGAGAGCCATTGCAGTCGACTGGGCCAAAGGAAAAAGCAGTTCAATCATAACAGCAGGGTGCACACAAAAAATAGGAGACATTCCTCAAGTGCCAGGTTCTGGTGAACAGAGGACAGTGCACTGCAGGGCACTACAGTACCTCTTCTTCACAAGACTACTACTTTCAAGAGCAGGAGTTGTAGGTGACTTCCATAACACACAGAAACAGAGAGTTAGACAAGATGAGAGACAGGGAAATATGTCCCAAATGAATGAACAAGATAAAATCACAGCACCAGATTTAAGCAAAACAGAGAAAAGAAATATTACTGATAGGGAATTTACAGTAATGATCATAAAGATATCCACTGGACTTGAGACAAGAGTGGAAGATCTCAGTGAGACTCAACAAAAAGAAACCATAAAACTGCAGATGAGGAACTCAGTAACTGGAATTCAAAATACACAAGGTGGAATAAATAGTAGACTAGAGGAAGCAGAAGAACCAGAGATTTGGAGAACAGAGTAATGGAAAGCAACCAAGCTGAATAGGAGAGAAAAATAATAATTAAAAATGAAAATAAGACTTGGGGAATTATCAAGAACAATAACATTCACATTATAGGGATCCCAGAAAGAGAAGAGAGGGAAGGAAGCAGAAAATGATTCTGAAACAATAATAGCTGAAGACTTCCTGAAGTAGGGTCAGGGAACAGAAATCCAGGTTCAAGAGGCACAGAGAGCACCTAACAAAATCAACCCAAGGAGGTTGACACCAAGATGGATAGTAAATTGTAAATATTTATGCATCCAACATGGGAACACCCAAATACCATAACGCAGTTAATAACAAACCTGAAGGAACTAAACGATAGTAATACAATACTAGGGGACTGTAGCATGCCACTTACGTCAGTGGACAGATCATCCAAACAGAAAATCTACAAGGAAACAATGGCTTTGGATGACACACTGGACCAGATTAATCTAGAGATGTATTCAGAACATTCCATCCAAAACTAGCAGAATACACATTCTTTTCAAGTGTAGATGGATCATCTCCAGAATAGATCATAAATTAAGCCACGAAACAAATCTCAACAGATTCAAGAAGATCAGAGTCATACTATGCATCTTTTCCAACCACAACACCATGAAACTGGAAATCAACCACATGAAAAAAGCTGGAAAGAACACAAATACACAAGGTTAAATAACATGCTACTAAACAATGAATAGGTCCATTAAGAAATTGAAGAGTAAGTAAAAAAATGCATGGAGGCAAATGAAAACACAATAGTCCAAAATCTTTAGGGTACACCAAAAGCAGTTTTAAGAAGGAAGTTATAGCAATACAGGCCTACCTCAACAAACAAACAAAAATCTCAAACAGCCTAACCTTACACCTGAAGAGCTAGAAAAAAGAACAAATCAAACCCAAAACCAGTAGAAGGAAGCAAATAATAGAGCAGAAATAAATGAAATGAAAACAAAACAAAAACAATGATACTGGGAGATGGCTCTTTGAGTAGATCAACAAAATTGGCAAACCTCTAGGCAGACTCATAAAATTAAAAAAAAGAATCAGAAATGAAAGAGGAGAAATAACAACCAACACAAGAGAAATACAATAGGAATAGACTCAAAACTATATGCTGCCAAACTGGACAGCCTAGAAGAAATGAATTTCTAGAAACACAGAACCTTCCAAAACCAAATCAGAAGAACATAGAAAATTTGAACAGGACAGTTACCAGCAAGGAAATTGAATCAGTAATCAAAAACTCCCACCAAATGTCCAAGACCAGACAGCTTCACAGTTGAATCCTACCAAACATTTAAAGAAGAATTAATACCTTTTCTTCTCAAACTATTCCAGAAAAATCAAAGAGGAAGGAAAGCTTCCAGATTCATTCTATGAGGTCAGCATTACCCCGATATCAAAAGCATATACATACAACACAGAGAAATAAAAGGCATCCAAATTGGCCAGGAGGAGGTCAAACTTTCACTCTTGGCAGATGACATGATACTCTATATGGAAAGCCCAAAAGATTCCACCAAAAAACTGCTAGAATTGATTCATGAATTCAGCAAAGTTGCAAGATATAAAATCATTGCACAGAAATCGGTTGCATTCTTATACACCTACAATGAAGTGACAGAAAGATAAATCAAGGAATCGATCCCACTTACAGTCGCACAAAAAAACATAAAATACCTAAGAATAAATCTAACCAAAGAGGTGAAAAATGTATGCACTGAAAACTATAGAAAGCTTATGAAAGAAATTGAAGATACAAAAAAATCGAAAAAGATTCCATGCTCCTGGATAGGAAGAACAAATATTGTTAAAATGTCAATACTACCCAAAGCAATCTACATATTCAATGCAATGCCTATCAAAATAACACCAGCATTCTTCACAGAGCTAGAACAAACAATCCTAAAATTGGCATGGAACCAGAAAAAAACCCAAATAGCCAAAGCGATCTTGAAAAAGAAAAAGCAGGAGGCGTCACAATCCCAGACTTCAAACTATACTACAAAGCTGTAATCATCAAGACAGTATGATATTGGTACAAAAACAGACACTCGGATCCATGGAACAGAATAGAGAACCCAGAAATGGACCCACAAACGTGTGGCCAACTCACCTTTGACAAAGCAGGAAAGAATATCCAATGGAATAAAGATGGTCTCTTCAGCAAGTGGTGCTCGGAAAACTGGACAGCGACATGCAAAAGAATGAACCTGGACCACTTTCTTACACCAAACACAAAAGTAAACTCAAAATGGATGAAAGACCCCAACGTAAGACAGGAAGCCATCAAAATCCTCGAGGAGAAAACAGGCAAAAACCTCTCTGATCTTGGCCACAGCAACTTCTTCAACACGTCTCTGGAGGCAACAGAAACAAAAGCAAAAATGAACTATTGGGACCTCATCAAAATAAAAAGCTTCTGCACAGCAAAGGAAACAATCAGCAAAAGTAAAAGGCAACCGACAGAATGGGAGAAGATATTTGCAAATGACGTATCAGATAAAGGGTTAGTATCCAAAATCTATAAAGAACTTATCAAACTCAACACCCAAAAAACAAATAATCCAGTGAAGAAATGGGCAAAAGACATGAATAGACACTTCTCCAAAGAAGACATCCAGGTGGCCAACTGACACATGAAAAAATGCTCAACATCACTCATCATCAGGGAAATACAACCAACTGAGGGTTACTGGAGGGGCTGTGGGAGGGGGGATGGGCTAAATGGGTAAGAGACACTAAGCAATCTACTCCTGAAATCATTGTTGCACTATATGCTAATTTGGATGTAAATTTTAAATAATATTTTAAAAATCATATACAGGCACTACAAAAAAAGGGAACTACAGGCCTATGTGTCTAATGAACTTAAATGCAAAAATCCACAACAAATTGTTAATAAACTGAATCTAACAATACATTAAAAAACCATTGACCACAATCATGTGAGACATATTACTGGGATACAAGGGAGGTTCAGAATTTGTAAGTCAGTCAATGTGATACATCAAGAAGAGAAAGGATAAAAATCATATCGTTTCGATACATGTAGAAAATGCATTTGACAAAGTATAAACTCCATTTATACTAACCCTCCACAAAGTTTAGAGGGAACATAACGTAATAAAGCCCATATAAAAACCCCACAGGTAACATAATGCAAAAAAATTAAGAGTTTTTCCTCTAAAATCAGGAATGAGACAAGGATGTCCACTCTCATCACTTTGATTCAACACAGTACTGGAAGTACTAGCCACAGCAATAAAACAAGAAAAAGGAATAAAAGGTATCCAAATTGGTAAGGAAGAATAAAACTTCTACTATTTGCAGATGGCATGATACTATATATAAAAAATCCCAAAGACTCCACCCCAAAACTACTAGAACTGATAAATGAATTCTTTAAAATCACAAGATACAAAATCAATGTACATAAATCTTTTGCATTTCTCTACACTACTAATGTAGTAGCAGAAAGAGAAATTAGGAAAACAATTCCATTTACAATTGCACCAAAAATACAAAGTACCTAGAATGAACTTAACCAAGGAGGCGAAAGATTTGTACTATGAAACTAAAACACTGATGAAAGAAATTAAAGATGACACAAATGAATGGAAAGATATTCCATGCTCATGGATTGGGAGAACAAATACTGTTAAAATGTCTATACTACCCAAAGTAATATACAGATTTAATACAATCCCTGTCATAATACCAGCCACATTTTTCACAGAACTAGACTAAATTATCCTAAAGTTTGTATGGAACTACAAAAGACCCCGAATGGCCAAAGCAGTCTTGAAAAAGAAAAAAGTAGAAATATCACAATCCCAGATTTCAGGATATAATACAAAGCTGTAGTAATCAAGACAGTATAGTAATGGCACAAAATAGATACATAGATCAGTGGTAGAGAATAGAGCCCAGGAATAAACCCACAATTATATGGCCCGTTAATCTTTGACAAAGGAGGGAAGAATATGCAATGGGGAAACATAATCTCTTCAACGAATAGTGTTGAGGGAACTGGAAAGCTGCCTGCAAAAGAATGAAACTGGACCACTTTCTTACACCATTCACACAAATACATTCAAAATGGATTAAACACCTAAATGTGAGACATGAACCATAAAAATCCTGGAAGAGAGCAGAGGCAGTAATTTCTCTGACATTGGCTGTAGCAACATTTTTCTAGATATGTCTCCTGAGACAAGGGAAACAAAAATAAACTATTGGGACTACACCAACATAAAAAGCTTTCACAAAGTAAAAAATAAGAAAACTAAAAAACAAGTGAATGGGAAAATATATTTGCAAATACACATAGCCAATAAAGGGTTGTATCCAAAATATATAAAGAATTTACACAACTCAACAACAAAAACAATCAGATTGAAAATAGGCAGAAGACATGAAGACATTTTTCCAAAGAACACATACAGATGGCCAAAAGATACTCAACAGTCCTCATCATCAGGGAAAAGCAGAACAAAACCACAATGAGATATCACCTGCCACCTGTCAGAATGTGTAAAATCAAAAATACAAGAAATAACAAGCATTGGTGAGGATGTGGAGAAAAAAGAAGCCTTGTGCACTGTCAGTGGGAATGCAGATTGATAGAGCCATTGTGGAAGACAGTATGGAGGTTCCTCAAAGAATTACCATAAGATCCAGTAATTCCACTACTGGGTATTTACCCATAGGGGAAAAAAACCCACTAATTTGAAAAGATAGATGCACCTCTATGATTACTGCAGCATTATTTACAGTAGCCAAATTATGGAAGCAGCCCAAGTGTTTACGATATATGAATGGATAAAGAAGATGTGATCTATAAATATATATCCTTATTCAGTCCCATGGCCAGAAGCTGGGAACTGAAAGTTAGGAACTGTCAAAGTTGGGCTTTGGTGATTTATAGTAAAGTGAGTAGGGTATATTAGGCTGTTGAGATGGGGCCTCAGGATCCCAATTAACCTTCTCTGAAATTTCCCTTATGGAACTAATACTCCTAAAGCCTTTCTTCCGTCATAGTTCCAGACCAAACCACACTTTCTAGACTTGGTCAAGTAGTGGCTGACCTCTCAACCTTTTAGGATTAAAAGATGCGTGAATCCTTTGCTTTGTGGAGGGCCCTGGGGATGCAGTCCGGTGAGAATCAGGGCCCCAGTCTGTGAAGGGCTCCTTTGCTATATTTAGCCAAGCTGAGCCACCAGAACCAGATACAACTTTATTTACTTCTCCCCAGCACCAAGCCTCCAGAATCGTCGCTATCCATCCATGGCAAGGATCCATTCCATGACCATCGAAGCTCCCATCACAAAGGTGAGTGACAGCTGCTGCCTCCACTCTGCAATCAGGGCTGCCCAGCACTGGGCTCGTTTCTACAGACAGACGTGATAAATGACTTGTCACTGATAACACAGAGTTTACAGTCTGGTAGAGGAAGCAGATATTAAATAAACACGTAATTAATTTGTAGTTCTAAATTACACTGACTGTTAGTAAGGAAAACAATAGTGTTCTAAGAGAAAATCAGATTATGGCTCTATTTACCTTAGGTGAGGTGATCAGACAGAGTCTCTCTCTAGAGGAAATGATGCTTGAAGTAAGAACTGAAGCATGCAAGGCTGTTAGAAGACGAGGTGGGGGAAGAGAATTCTAGGCAGTAGGCACAGCAAGAGATGAAGCATAGAGGTGAGAGAAGGAGGATTGGAGTATTTGAAGACTTGAAAGAAAGTTCGGGTGGCTAGAGCTTGGAGGGCAGAGGGGAGAAGATGGTGACATGGAGCTGGAAGGAGGGGTTCGTATTTTAGTTTCTGTGCAGTGGAAGCCACTGAAGAGTTTCAAGTCGGGGAATGACATGATCCAGTTTGTTTATTAAAAGGAACACCCAGCTGCCATGCAGAGAATGGACTAGAGATGGCAAGAATGAAAGAGAAGAGGCCAGTTAGGGGGCTTTTCCAGAATTCCAGGCAAGAAATGGTGGTAACTGTACTACAGTCATAGCAGTGGAGTTAGAAATGAATAGATCAAGAAATAGTCAGGGATAGAATCAATTTGGATGATGAATAACATTATCAGGGTGATAGAGAAAGCTGTTTGTCAGCTGGGGCCACCCAGGTTCTGAGTTTGAGCACAGGCAGATAGAAGTTGTTTTGTTGTTGTTTGGTTTTTGTTTGTTTTTCACTCTAGTGTAAAAACCAGAGAAGGAGCTGTTGTCTCACTTTTTTGGTCCACTTTTTTCCTTGCTTTGGGGAGAAGGGAGCAATATCATTAATTTAGTTTGGGACATGTGAGCAAGATATTCCAATAGGTGGGTCACATGGGTAATTGAATTATACAAACTTGAAGGTCAAAAATGAGTTCCGGCAAGGATATAAATTTGAGAGCCCTTGGCATTGTAGGTCATATGTGTCCAAACTCATGGGAATAGCTGGGTTCTGGAAGGACTGTGGAGTGAAAGGCCCCGTACCCATCTCTGAGGTGCTCCAACCTGCAGGAGACAGCTAGAGAAGGATCAGCAAAGGAGCTGAAGAAAATGTGGTCTCTGAGGTGGGAGAACAACCCGGAGAGGTTGGGAGGAAAGGCATGTTGCAGTAAGAATGGAGTGGTTCCGTGAAAACCCTGCTCATTTTGAACAATAAAATGTGTCACTCTCTGATTTCTTTTGGGTTGCAAGCATGTGTTTGACTTTTGGGAATTAGAATTCTTATATTCTCAAATTTATTCTTTCTCTCTTTATTTCCTTAGGTTATAAATATAATCAATGCAGCCCAAGAAAACAGCCCCGTGACAGTAGCAGAAGCCTTGGATAGAGTTTTGGAAATTTTACGGACCACGGAACTGTATTCCCCTCAGCTCGGAACCAAAGATGAAGATCCTCACACCAGTGATCTCGTTGGAGGCCTGATGACCGTGAGTGATGAGGGAAAACCGGAAATGCAGGGAGACAACATTAAATGCCCTTTAGAGCACATATAATATGTAACATTTAAACTTGCATATAGTTGCAGAAACATCTGCTGTGGGGGCTAACATCAGTGTAATCAGAAGCATCCGTGTCAAAATTTCTGGATTATATGTGTGGTATAATTCAAATATTTCTTGAATTTACCTTTCCATGAAGCTAACTGATTATAGCAATGGGGGACAGTCCTTCAGAATCCTCATTACAATAAGGAGTAAAGAAGCAGTTGATTGAAAGCTAAATATGCACCACGGGACCCTTGTTTACCTCTCTCCCTTGACCTGGTGCAGTATTGGATTGAGGGTTATGGGTAGGTTTCCTTGGACTCTGGGCTTTTTATGTAATGAAAAGGTTTGTACTTAGATTATAGCACTAGTTCCCAAAATCTCAGCTCTAGAATCCTCTGTTTAAATAAAAAGTTATAAAGAAGTTCCCTTTATAATCCAATAAAAGCAGAGCAGAGCTGTTCTGGCTCCATAGGGGAGGGGAGAAGGAAGCACCCCCTCCCAGCACACCAATACCACCACATTTGTCACCACCAAGAGTAGCTGATTTCTAAGGACTCGTGTGTTCTAGTGTTTGGCTGTAATCACCATCTATCAGCAAGTGAAGAAAAAGAAGAAGATTCAAATTACTCATTTGTAGTTCTTATCAGAGGGTGAAGCTTGAAGAATTCTTGGGGTGAAACAGACTCCAGGAGCATCTGAGAGTTTGACTTTGAAGGTTTGTGTCTAGCCCTGTCACCAAATGCTGAGTGTTGACTGGCTTTCTAGTCCATTCTCCCTGTTCTTGCAAAAGGTCTTCGATGAGCCTGTAATTTGAGTGACTTCCTGTTCCTTTCCTTTCCCTGGGCTGGCCTTGGTCATCCCATCCCAGTGCAGCACAGGCTTCAGCTCTGGAGAACGCTGGCAAGGGTCAGTCAGGAGGGCAGCCACAGCACCGCATCAGGAGGACTTCAGTTTCTGGAACCAAGTCATCTGCCTCTTCCCCCTGTGGCCATACCATCTTGTGGTTCCTCTCTGGGTCCTGCTGTGAGGAACTAGTGTAGGATTCCACTTACTTTTATTTAGTTTTAGAGAAGAGGAAAAAGAAAGGCAAAGAAGAAGCAGGGGAGTGCCCTGTGATACCTACCTTAGAGGCAGGATGGTTGTAGCCATTGTCACCTACCTATTTATAGAGTTTTAAAAGTTCAGCTCTTGGCCTAAAGGTCCCAAGGTGTGACTTCAGGGGAGCCCTTCATTAATACTTTAAACCTTAGCACACACTTTCTACGGAGACAAATAAGCAATTATAAATGATTTTTAAGCAAAGATCTAAATAATTAGGTACTCAAGGGTAGAAAGTGGAGGGAAGGGGAACTGACATGCAAGAACATCACCAGCCTAGTAAATGGCAGATCGTTAGAACTCTTTCCACTCCCTTAGGTTGCCCTTCCAAAGATCTCAAATCCAGAAAGTTTTCTTTTAAAGGCCAACTGCAATGTTCACGTTGCAAAGCAGAAAACACAGTTGGAAAAAAAATTTAGATACTAATCAAAAATTAGCCCAACCTTTTTAAAGCTTTACATTAAATCATCCCCAAAATGTGGCCCATGGCTTTGGGTCCCCAGTTTGTAAATCTGAGAACACAAGAATAACATAGTACCTAGAAGGGTAAGTGGGGTCTCTTCAAAATAACCTGCATCCAAAAGCAAGATCCCTTCCGTGAGTTCACTAATGTGGCTTCAGGAAGCCAGAAGACAAGGATGGTGTGAGAAAGGCAACGAAGGCAGCTCAGAGGTCAGGCGTGAAACCTGGATGAAGTCCTATCCATTTTACTCTCAATTCTCCATCTCCTGGGGCTAATAGCTATGGAAGGGGGAGTGTCCTCTGTCTTCTGGATACTGTTCATTTTGAGCCTCATCTTCGGCTAATGGAAGAAATGAGAGAATAATGATAACCGCGTGCAAAGTATGCTTCTAATAGTAGCTTTCTTTATTCCAGGATGGCTTGAGAAGGTTGTCAGGAAACGAGTATGTGTTCACTAAGAGTAAGTTGTCATCTGTCCACTTGTTACTGATAACCTGTCTCCAGCCTGTGCCTTCTCCAGTGTTGTGATTTTTGTTTGGGGAGGGCCTTGGTGTGGCTTGCTGTTGGTCTCATTGGAGTTAACCATCTCTGTAGTCTGCACTTGAAACCAGGTCTCCTAATTAAAATTACTTCTGTGAGCACTGTCAGAATAGGAATTGCAACTCTGTGTACATTCAAACAGACAGCTAAATGGAATTACTTTTTTATTTTTATTTTTTGTTGGGGGAAGTTTCAAGAGAAGAACCCTAAAGTGAAAATCTTAACCCTTGGAAGTTCAAGACTTCTTTCTAGTAGCAACCATGAAGATGCTAACAAATGTTTGGGGGCACTTAAGATTCCACAATTAACCAGCCTCCTCAACCCCGTCTGTTTGCTCAGATGTGCACCAGAGTCACAGTCACCTTGCGATGCCAATAACCATCAACGATGTCCCCCCTTGTATCGCTCAATTACTTGATAATGAGGAAAGTTGGGAGTTCAACATCTTTGAATTGGAAGCTGTTACACATAAAAGGTATGTGGCTTCTCTGGCTGCAGGTGGGGAAAGATTGATGGCCACGCTCAAGACTTTCACATCTGGAAACTTTGAGGGAGACGTGAGTTCTTGCCACAAGAAACTTCACAGGTTCTACTTTTCATGCCTTGCTGGGATGTCGTACAAGCAGAGACTGTGGCCCCTGAGTGAGCTCCTTTATGGAGACAGAGTGGGTAAGATGTGGGATTAGCCTGGTGATGACCCAGGATGAGGACATACTGAGTGTCCTTTTCACATTTATCCAGGTCGTTCCTTTGTGCTAGTGAGCCGAGAGTTCCAAGCACTATTGGCCCCAAACTTGTTGAAGCTAGACCTTACAAAATAAATTTGAAAGCACTACAGACTTGACTTTTGTTCCATCCTGTAGCCAGGGAGAAGATGAAATAAGTCAGAAAGTCCTCTTCTATAGTAGGAGACAGCTCTTTCTTTCAGGGATGCTGGTCTATAGCATGTGAATGATTCTCACCTGTAAATCTAAGTAATATGATTATAAATGGTAGGACTCTACTGACACCACTGTCCCTAGGCTCAGTAACTTTGTGAGGCGACACAGAGGAAATACAGAGGTTATATGGAAGTAGAGATGGAGAGGGATCTTTTTTGGTTGCTAGAGTCACTGAAGGCCATCTGAGTTTAAGATAATCGAGAAATCATTTGGATTGACCACCATGAGGCACCTAGTTGTAAAGAAGTGACTGATGAGGAGATGCTCTATCTCCTAATTTGGGGAGGGGATGTTTTTTAAGCTCTTGTTCACGCGGAGTAAACGTCACAAGAAAAATGCCTCTATTCCCCAGTGTCATCAAAGAAAGCAGATTCTAGACCAGTGAACACAATGAATCAGGGTCTGTTTTCCTGTTTTCCAGGCCATTGGTTTACCTGGGCTTAAAGGTATTTTCCCGGTTTGGAGTCTGTGAATTTTTACACTGTTCTGAAACTACTCTTCGGGCCTGGCTCCAAGTGATTGAGGCCAACTACCATTCTTCCAATGCTTATCATAACTCCACCCATGCCGCCGATGTCCTGCACGCCACTGCCTTCTTCCTCGGAAAGGAAAGAGTAAAGGTAGCATTTCGGTATCATGATCTAGTTACCTGCTTAGATTGGAGGTCCAAGAGCTCAATCTTAATAAACATATAAGGCAAATAACTATTTATATATATACAAATTGCAACCAAATTAACTTGTCATGTTGGTGTTGTAAAGACATGGCCTTTGCTTCCAGCTCTCCCCTCTTGCAAAGGCCTAAAACAATAATTGATGCCACTGTAGACTCCCTTACATGCCTGGCGGATTCTTGAACCTCTTCTCCAAGTATTCACTGGGAGCCCGTTGTGATGCTGAATTAGAGGACAGGACTTAGTTATTACAGCAAATGGTTACTAGGTCTAGAGGTTACATTTTAGGATCACAATTTGGCCATTGGTGAATGATAACCCAGACAGTAAGGAGCCATTCAGCATTCTACTAATATACATACATATATACGTGTGTGTTTTGTGTAGGTGTGAATGTGTACACCCTACATTAATGACTTGCATAATCATTCTGAAGGAGTTCCACGTCCCTTAATCTTACTTAGAAGCACCTGTACTGTTATGAATAGGTGCTGATTTATAGGACAGCCCTACGTACACCCCATGTACAGCTGGCAAGAGATCTCCATCTCTCCTCCTTCCCAACTACTGTCACTTGCAGTGAAGCTTGTAATTCCTTTGCTACAGTTAAAACGGAAGCTTAGAATGTAGATGCCCCTGCGAGAAGTACTATATAGACACTGCAATTCCTATCAACCTGCAGCGGCCTGACGTTAGATCATTTCCTTAGTCTTAAGACCCTGGCTACTTAGAAGAGTGATAGCAGGACAGGTAGCAGGAGCTAGAAATGGAACCAAAATGGGGAAAGAGGAGGTTTCCTTCTCAATGTTGCCAAAAGCTAATGTTGGTATTCCCTTTCATCATCAGCAAAGTAAAGAATGTGGTCCAAGAATGATGCTTCTGAAGACTTTTATCACCTCCTTTTCAAAAAGGTGACCTCAGGCTTTGTTGAGATAGCACGTTCCTTTGAAGAGCTAAGACACTTTGAGATTCCTACTCCAGGCTCATGTTCCTCCATTTTACACTGCATGAAACCTTAGACAGCTGAGGCTGTGCACTGCAAAGTTGAGGGCAGGACGTAAAGACAACCCTCACTTAAGCAGAACGACTCTATAAAAATACACATTAAATGCTTGATAAATCAGGGAACTCTTGGTCACTTTATCACCTCCCATACTCTCCCTCCCCCAGGAATTTTTCTTTAGATTGTGAGTTCTGCTAGCATATTCAAAATCTGATTGAATTTCTCAAGTAGCAATAGAAACAAGGCTAAGACTATAATTACTTCAAATTCAAAAGACATTTTCTGACAGTCTTGCCAGAGAATCAGGAAATTTAGAACTGCCAGGAACCTTGGAGAAGTAGGTGGAGGGGGCTCCTTATCTCAAAGGTTGAGTCAGCAGCCCCAGACCACTGGTTAGTCCACCGTGAGGCATTGTGAGCAGGATTTAATCCTGGGGACTCTTGTGCCAGACCTGCTGCCACTGATGAGGAGAGTCAGGGAAATGTGTTTTTACCGAATACCCATCCGTCACCCTCTTTTCTTTATGCTTAGACTAAAAATCTTGATATCACTGTGACATAGCTCCACATCCCCACCCCAGCCAGCTGGATAACATGCCCAGAGCTGACCTTCCCCTTGAATTTGTCACAGATACTCTCTTCCCCCTACTCTTCCCGATTCCCAGGAACTACTGCAACTAGAGCGCTCAGGGTAGCCAGCACTCTGTTGTTATTCTCTGGGTGTAGGTGACCGTCGTAGGGAAGGAACTGTTGGAAAGGCTCATCTGAAATGGGGGCCAGTCTGGCCAATTTGCCTCAGGGTGATCCAAATCTACTCCCATTGATTAAAGAAGGCAAAAACGGTGCGGAACTCTCTGCATCTCCAAAGGTCTAAAATTTCTCCTCTTGTGGGTTTGGTGAGGAAGTTTCCTTCCGCAGACAGTCCCCAAGGGCTTGCTTCTTCCATCTGCTGGGGGGGGGGGGGTGGGGTGGGGAGGTAGGCCCAGCCTTCTTCTCCTGCCTCCCACCACAACTACCCCCAGGTTTAAATCAGTGTAGGCTGGAAGAAAAGACATGTCTCATCTAATGCCACTTGTGGGTCTACTGCAGTTACTTGAGTCTCTTTTACTGAAAAAACTAAAAACAACTTGGCCCCAGGCTCCAGTCAAGGTGGAACATACTCCAGGACCACTAGCTGCAGGCCCAAAGTGTGGGTTCCATGGGTCCTCCCTGCACAGGTAGAGTCAGAGGAGAGCCCCATCAGGGCAGCTTTGGGTCCTGACTGCACCTCCCTGACCAGAGGCAAAATGGGGCCAGCTTTTCTGCTTGCTCTGGGCATTATACAATCATCAGTGTCTGAAAAGAGCTGAAAGGAACAGCATCAAGTGCTGTCTGTCCCTGGTCAGGAAAGCTATACGTGTGGACTGGGGCCAAGCCAGGAATTGCCCCCCACCCCACCCCCACTCCTGCTCCAGGTGGTCAGGGTTGGAAAGGGAAATGGCTGTCTTCTGGTAGGGACAGCTTTCAAGAAACCTTTCAGGGCTAGCTTCAGACTCATTGCTCCCTTACCCATTAGGGTCTGAGAAGCAGTTGGCATTTTTACCTCCCACAGCCTGGGGGAACAACTCTGTACTGCCAGAAAATTATGCCTGCCCCTCTGGCCTCTTCTTGGGTACCACTTTTTCCCTACTCACTACCCTTCAGCCACAGTGATGCTCTTTAAGTTTCCTGAATAAACCACTTCTTTGTTTGACCTCAGGAACACCATGTAGACTTTCTGCCTGGCATTCTCTCTCTCGTCATTGTTTGCCCGGCTAATTTCTGCTTCTCCTTCAGGCTTTTATGCTGATAAAATGAAAAAATGCAGTTTTCGGTTGCATTGGCCACATTTCAGGTGTCTGGTAGCTCCGTGTGACCAGGGTTTATATACGGACAGCACAGACATTGCCATCGTCACAGAGAGTTGAGCCAACAGCACTGCCCTAAACCAGATCAGGCCTTGGGGTTACTCTGTCAAAGCATCTGTACTTTTCTTCTTAGCACATTTCACAGTCAGTTACGTGTGTGTGTGTGTGTGTGTGTGTGTGTGTGTGTGTGTGATCACTTCTCGGCCTTTTGGCTAAGACCAAGTGTATTTGTGTGTGTGTGTGTGTGTGTGTGTGTGATTTGTGCCTTCCCCAGGAAATTATCAATTCCATTAGTGCAGAGAGCATGCCAGTGTAGTTCATCATGGTAGTGCCAGCATTCTGAGTCACAGCTGGAACCCAGTAAGTGTATCATAAATGATTACTGAATGAATTCCTGAAGTACAGGATCTCTTATATAATAGTAGCCCATTTAATAACTTCTTCCTAAGGCTGTGATCTGAGAAAACATCCGTGTGCCCTTCTGCTCTGGTTTGTGTTCTTACATTACATACCAAGAGCTGTAGAAACAGGGTCTCCCTTTGTGCTTCTGCCACCTGCTCACCTAGAGCTGAATTTTGTTCTTAATTGCAAGAGCCCCTTTAGCCTCAGTTTTCATGGGAAAGTTCTTGTTCTTGTCCTTGATGATCTTGTACTGCTTGGCTTTACCCCTTTTCACCTTTGTGTGAAGAGTTTGCTTGTATTTGTGCCATTACTGCCACTCTCTCAATCTCTGCGTAAGTAAGCAAACAAAATAAGTAATACTTGTGATCATAGGCCACTTTCTGCTCTTCACGTGTGGAAAAGAGTCAGCAATAAATACCACAGGGCAAACACTTGAAAAGTCCTGTTTGGCTTCTTCCTGCAAAGGACTTGAAGTGAACAGATCCTGGGAAAAGAATTTCGGTGTCCGTGATAATACATCTGTCACATACGACAACTCAGATTTCTGTTTCCTTCCACATAATCCACAGCAACACCAGGTGATGTGATATATCCTAGGCAGCCTCTCAACTTCCAGGAAGTCAGAGAAGGCTCATCAGACTAAGCGAACATTCTGATAATCCCAACTCCCCTGGCCCATCCCCTGAGAGACGTGTAGGATCCTGACATTCAGTGGATAACGTTCAACCTTGCCTCCTCGTGACCCCAGGGAAGCCTCGATCAGCTGGATGAGGTGGCAGCGCTGATTGCCGCCACAGTCCACGATGTGGATCACCCGGGAAGGACCAACTCGTTCCTGTGCAACGCAGGCAGTGAACTCGCTGTGCTCTATAATGACACCGCTGTCCTGGAGAGTCACCACACCGCCCTGGCCTTCCAGCTCACGGTCAAGGACAGCAAATGCAACATTTTCAAGAACATTGACAGGTTTGTGCTTGGGCTCCTCTGCTCGGGTTTGTGAAACAGTAGTGGGACGTTCGGTCTTACGTAACTTCTCCAAGTATTTAGCTTCTCTTAGGGCAGGGAAAGGAGGAAGTAACAATAGCTGGACCATTGTACCAGACGGTATAGTAATCACCTTGCCCTTATAAGCTTACTTGTACTTTCCAGACTGCTTTCATCTTTCTGAATTTCATTTGCTCTTCATTGAGTTCACAAACGTGTTTTACACACTGCGCAAAAACGCTTAAAACCCTGGTTGTCTAATAAGTACAGCAGATATTTTTACCCTCCCAGGGGACATCCTGCCTTTTGTGTAACTCCCGGAAAATGCATCTTTCCTTGGCTTTCCCCAGTTGAGTTTCTGCCACTTAAAATCTTAACTCACGAGGAGGTAGCGTGGTTTCACAGGTCCCGGCAGAGTCGTTAGAGCCCAGAGGGTTGGGCAGGTTTCCCCCTGGCTGTTGTACTCCTGTCTGGTGAAAGTTGGCCAGCTGTGAACCGAGAGGAGCACTTCCTCTTGGCTGCCACAGGCCTGCAGTCAGACGATGGCTGTTTGCCACACGGCACCAGCCAGGCTGGAGAGCGGACTTCTGGGGCAGGGCAGACTACACAGAGCACAGGGCTCACCTGGGCCTTGGGGAACACTTGTCAACATGGACCTATCACTTTGATTTCCAGACATCTGTGAAAACATGGAGACCAGTTATTCTACCTTCAACTTAAACTTCATCAGGATCAAGGCTTAATTTTTAAAACTTTGACTGAAAGAATTTTATCCAAGAGCCAGTTTTATTCAGCTCCCCGTTCTGGCTCCTGAAAGTTAGAAAAAGATGATAGGAACTGCAGAGTAATGTTTTGGCAGGTTTGTTGCCCCATGCGTTGTCACTTCTATTTTAGAGAATGACTTTTTTTCAAATTTTATATTTTATTTTTTAAAATTTATCTCCAGATTAGTTAACATATAGTGAAACAGTGATTTCAGGAATAGATTCCTTAATGCCCCTTACCCGTTTAGCCCATCCTCCCTCCCACAACCCCTCCAGCAACTCTCAGTTTGTTCTCCATATTTATGAGTTAGTTACTTATTAGTGGGAAAACATTATTCCCCTACCATCATCTAAAGAAGTAATGACAGTTCTCTGTAATTCAAATCACTGTGTGCCGAATATAACGGGGACAGCTCATCAGGTTGCTGTGTCAGTCTTGTAGGGAAGGAACTTGGCATTTCCTTCTATCTTACTATTGATACGTTTCCAAGGGAAGGTAGAAGGAAACCACTTTGTAAAATAAGTGCCTACTATGTGCCAGTTACTACACACACACACACACACACACACACACACACACACACACACACACCCCCATACAAGGAAGAGTCAGCTTCACTGGGGAAAATCGAATGGTGTCATCAAGTCCTGGCATAATGGAAAGAGGGGCAGGTAAAATTTTTTATGATCTGCACTCATTTCTTAACTCTGTGCCCCCAGCTGCCTCGTATGGTGTGGGAAGTATGGTGAAATGGTAGCAGAACAGTTCTAATTCTGGACGTGATATGAACAAGGCCCTGTGTCTTCTGGTTATTTTAGGAACCATTATCGAACACTACGCCAGGCTATTATTGACATGGTTTTAGCAACAGAGATGACAAAACACTTTGAACATGTGAACAAATTTGTGAACAGCATCAATAAGCCCCTGGCAGCTGAGGTAAGCATTTCACCTATAATAAGATACATCAGCGTATTATTTCCATTAGAGCCGGCGCTGGCCACAACGTACTTTCTCTTCATCCTGGACACAAGATGGTTGTTTGCCTGGAGGTGGTAAAGACGGGCTGAAAATACTGGCCATAGTATCCACAGTAATTCTGCCTTCCTTAGAAAGAAAGGTCCTGAGATGAAGCCAGTGGTGACGGGAGGAGGAGATAGGCCCAAGAGTAAGATAGACGAGAACTGCAGACAGCAGAGCCTGGATAAATGGTGGTATTTTAGGGCACCCAAAGCCTTTTCTAATTCTGTGACATTGGAGACCTCAAAAGTGGATGTTTTAAAAAAGAGACAAACTAAGAAACAGACTCTTTAACTATAGAGGTCAAACTGGTGGTGACCAGAGGGGAGGTGTGTGTGGAGGGGGAGGGGGATGGGTGAAATAGGTGATAGGGATAAAAGAGGACACTTATCATCATGAGCACTTGAGCAATGTATACAATTGCTGAATCGCTACATCGTACACCTAAAACGAAACATAACACTGTATGTTAGCTCTACTGGAATTAGAAAACTTAATAAAAACAAAAGTAAAAACAGAAGCTGAAATTCAGTATTAGAAGAAAACACGGATGTTTTAAAGAACTGTATTCCTGATGATTTGCATTAAAACCACATCAGTACTTAAAGACTATGTACAGTCAAACTGAGTGCTAGTTGATAACAAAAGCAGAAGTCATTTTTCCTTTTTAAAATTTACGGACGTACCTTAGTCCTGCCTTAAGACCCCTATACACTGGAGTTTTAGAAACACACAGAGGGTTCACATCCCAGTTGTTTAAAATGAAATCAACTGACCTCTGAGACCATGAAGCTGCTCATAGTCCTGTAAAGTTAGAAAAGCTTTTTGCTCATTCCTTTGAGAAGAGGTTGCATATGTTGATGGGTGATGAATGGTTGTCTTAAAAGTAACCTGATGATCAGTATGGAGACTCTCTGTGTAGGACCCATCACCTGACCAGGCCAGATGCACGAACAGTGTCCACACCATCTGTTCTGCTTCATCCTCCAGGGATCCCACAGCATCATGTCAGGGCCTTCTCTTTCCACAGAGGACTTATGGGGGTAAAGATCTAGGGATTCAGGAGGGAAAAATTATACAGAACCACAGAATTTAGAGTTGAGGAAAGTCACCCATCAAATAAGCCCCAAGCTCTGTGTTGAGGTTTATTATTTATCACATTGCCTAGGGTAAGCAGTAACTTCCCAGTAACAGGTAATCAAAACAACTACCTTCAGAAGCCCATTGATGGTTTAGTAAATAGGTCTGATCTTGAAACAGAACAAAAAACTCTTAAATGTTATGCTTTCACTTTGGCAGAGGTCTGCAGATCTAATTAATTTTTCACACAATGTGATGATGTCTTTGAAAGAAGAGAATAGCAATCTTCCAGGTTTTGTATAATTGGCCTATTACTGCATTTATGTAAACCTACTCCTAGACCTGGCCACTCGGTTCAGGACCCCTGACCTGATATCCATCACTCAGTACACACTACTATACAACCAGTCTTTTTCTTTTTTTTTTTCCAAAATTTTTTTAAAATTCTAGTTAGTTAAGAGTGAAATATTGGTTTCAGGAGTAGAATTCAGTGGTTCATCACTTAGATACAACACCCAGTGCTCATCATAACAAGTGTTCTCCTAGATGGGTGTCATCACCCATCTAGCTCATCTCCCACCCTGCCGCCCTCCATCAACCCTCAGTTTGTTTAATGTTCATCTGCTTTGTTCCCTAAATTCCACATGAGTGAATATGGTGTTTATCTTTTTCGGACTGATTTCGTTTAGCATCATACTCTAGCTCCACCCATGTCATTGCAAATGGCAAGATTTCATTCTTTTTGATGGCTGATATTCCATTGTGTGTGTATATGTGTGTGTGTGTGTATACACGTGTGTGTTTGTGTGTGCATGTGTTCTTCATCAGTCAGTGGACACGTGAGTTCTGTCCATAGTTTGGCTATTGGTAGCACTGCTGTAAACATCGGGGTGCATGTGCCCCTTCGAACCTGTATTTTTGTATCCTTGTGGGAAATAACCTAATAGTGCAGTTGGTGAATCAAAGTTCTACTTTGTAATTTCGGAGGAACTGCCATACTGTTTTCCTGAGTGGCTGCACCAGTTTGCATTCCCACCAACCGTGCAAGAGGGTTCCCTTTTCTCTGCATCTTAGCAACACTTGTTTCTTGTATTGTTAATTTTAACCATTCTGACAGGTATGAGGTGGTACCTTATTGTGGTTTTGATTTGCAGTTCCCTGATGACGAGTGATGTGGAGTATCTTTTCATGTATGCCCAGTCTTCTTAAACATGACTGAACACACAGAGTCCGCCCTGGTCCACTTGCTTCTCTTCATACCCCCACCCCCCAAAATGTACATGGTTCATGATTCCCTACCACTCAGAATAGCAGCCAGGAAAACATGAGCGGACAGATGCCTTAAGAGAAAGAAACAAAGTGGGTAGGGGTGGGGCAGAAGGAGCTGGCAGGCATAAGAAATAGAAGTAAATGAAGAAATGATTGAAGGGTCACAGGTATGTGTTATTTCCCATCTTTAACATATTTTTTAAACCTGAAAGTTGCTTTTACACATGTCCTGATAAAATTGGGAGAGAAGCTCACCTTTAAGACTACATACTAAACTACTAAATATGGCACAAAACCCTGTTTGTAGCAGTTACGTTTGGGGAAGAGGATGGAAGCGAGGGAGTGGATGAGTGGTGATAGGGACTGTGATGTTTTAAACTGGTTTTTGGGGGGTCCTCTCCTCTCCCCTCCCCTCCCTCTCATAAACATAAAAAAATAGTAAACTCTGGTTTTGTATTGACTGAGGTTATTTTTGTATGAGAATGGATCAGTGTGTGGAATATGGAATTCAGGAATTAATACAATTGGAATTAAGGATGGGAAAATTTGAGTCCCAGTCCTGTCCAAAGGTACCTGGGTGATAACTCTCTAGTGTCTGGCCATTGTGATCGCATCATCATTTTAACCACGATCTGACCATCTGTTCTCCAGATTGAGGGCAGCGACTGTGAATGCAACCCTACTGGGAAGAACTTTCCTGAAAACCAAATTCTGATCAAGCGAATGATGATCAAGTGTGCCGACGTCGCCAACCCATGCCGCCCCCTGGACCTGTGCATTGAATGGGCTGGGAGGATCTCTGAGGAGTATTTTGCACAGGTATACTGCCTCTCTAGGGAAGCTCCACTTCTCTTCTAGAAATGGCTTCTGGTTCCCTCAGCAGTGATGAATGTGGCTGGTCAGTAACCAAAGTTACTCTAGAGGAAAAGGGTAAACTGAGCCTTTGGAAGTACCTTTTCATCATCAAACTGGTAGATCCTGAACTCCCTCCAAATCTGAGCTGTCATCCATTTGCTCACTAGGTTATTCTCACCATGGAGCATGTGAGGACACAGATAGGAAGAAGACACACTCCTGCACAGGTGCAGCTCAGCATATAGTAGGGGAGCTGTGTAGACATAGATAGGTCCACACATTGCTACAAAAAAGGAAATAGCTCAAAAGGAGGTATGTTAAGGGCTATCAGAGTTAAGAAAGCTTGTTTTCTAGATTAAAAAAAAAAAAAGCCCTGGGGAAATGGTAATAGAGTTGTGTTTTTGTTTTTCTTTTGAAAAATAATTATGGAAATAGGAAAGGACTTTCTGGGAGAGGAAAAATGTACGAAATTATGAAGAAAAATAGAATTTTTATTTAACAAGAGCAGCAATATGTAGTTCACTTAGCCAGTGTGAAAAGGAGTTAAAGGGAAAAAATCGAGAAATTAGTAGACCACAAGATGCCATTCTAAATACAAGCCTACTTCCAGAGAAAAGGCCCTAAGAATTGAGGTGTGTATGTGTCACAGAAACAAACAGCTACAAGTAATGTATTTTGGGGGGACCTATATGGCTAGGCTCTACCACTAAGGCAGGATAAAGAATAGCTGGAAATGTCTAGAAGGGCTGCCAGAGGGAATGACTAGCCAAGTATCCAGTAAGTTAACTGCAGCTTTCAAGGCTGGGAAGAGCCCCTGAATTGAAGAAAAGTAGGACAGGCAGTTCGGCTCGCCAGAACCAAGGGGTTAAAAATCCCAAATTACTCCTTAAGCAACAGTGGATATTTTAAGGATACCTCATCAATTCATCTGAAATGAGCAAGCTGAGCCCAAAGCTGGCAGGAGGCCATTAATGGGCTTCCCAGGATCCAGAGAAGACTTGAAATCCTACTCCTAATACTCTCGTAAGTATGTGATTAGGGAATGGGAAAGAAGCACTTTTAAGTTCTTTAATAGAAGCTCCCCGTTTAAGGGTCCTTTTCCCAAAAAGGAATGTACTGACGTTCACAAGCATCGTGACCTAAAAATCAGAAGTTACAAACGAGGCCTCCGATCATGTGGCCTCTGGTTCAACACACCATCAGGAAATGTGGATGTTAATATTCAGCTTAGTACATAATGGCCTTCACACACACACACATTACACACTCTAATGTGCAAATTATTCAGATTTACATACTTCCTGAGAGAGCTGCATGACCAATACCCAAATCTGAACAATCATAGTTTGTCATCCTTTCAAGTGAAAATTGTATTCCATGAAAGAAAAAAAAAAAAAAGGCTAGGTCACCTCAATAAATGCGTTTCCTCAAGACAACCATTATAGTTTGGTATGCAGTAAAAGGACTTTATGTGAACTTTCCATTTTGTCAAAACATAGAATTTGCAAAGGATACATACTCAAAGGCTAAACTTTAATAAGATTAGTAATTCTTACTGCTTCAGTGAGGATATTCCTACGTAAAATTGGGGTTTTAAACCTCAGGCATGTAGCAGTGAATAATAAAATGATTATTGGTACAGTTTAGTGACAGTTGCCGGATTCATGCCAAGGCACAAGAAGTTTTACCCACTGTACTCTCACTGTAAATGTCAGGATTATTAGTGTTAATACTACTGGTACTACTTAGGAAATCGATCTCAGGAAAGGAGTTAAGAACTCGGAGATTGATGCTTCAGGAGGGGCTGTGGTATGGTATAAGAGACTTCGGACTCACAAGACCTGAATTCAGTCACCACAGTTCATCGGGTGGTTGATTTCTATAGGCCTCAGGAGCTTGCTGAGCCTCCTTCTTCATAGATACAATTGGATGATGACCCCTTCCCAGAGTTGTTCTGAGAAACTAAATGCTACCGTGACAGCTCCTCATGTGCCTCAGCCCTGTCTGTGTTCTTATGTCTTGCAGACTGATGAAGAGAAGAGACAGGGGCTCCCTGTGGTGATGCCAGTGTTTGACCGGAATACATGTAGCATCCCCAAATCCCAAATCTCTTTCATTGACTACTTCATAACAGACATGTTTGATGCTTGGGATGGTAAGAGAGTTGGTGTTTTGTCACCTCAACAGAATATCTTGTTCTGCTTTATGATGATAACCCCTAAGGACATAGGCTGGGCCTACAGGTGTATGTGAAATGTTGTTTGTTTTTTTTTAAGTTAGCTATGGTGGCGTGCATGTCCACTTTCTGCATCGCCAGCACCTTGCAGAGAACCTCTGAGTACAGAAGACTCCATGGACGTTTGATAACTGGATCTACAAGTCTTCACTTCTTCAAAGCTTAGGGTTCCAAAGCTTATAGCAGTTTTTCCTATCATTGGAGGAAACTCTAGAAAGAATACCCAAAGAATCTGATTCAGAGTAGACTTAATACATTTTGTAATGTTGCTGATAAATGGCTCTTCCACTTTTAACTAAGAGGACCTGTTTGTATTTCAGAAACTAGTGTTTAACGATCTACCCTTCTCATGCTTGTATGTTCATGTGTAGTATAAGGCCTGACCTAGGGTACCTCTCTTCCTATATTGAGCCTCCATATGTCTCACAGAGCACCGGCCTTCTAAATGTTCCTGGCATCTAACCTGTGATTCTTTGATGTCCTTGCAGCCTTTGCCCATCTGCCAGCCCTGATGCAACATTTGGCTGATAACTACAAACACTGGAAGACATTAGATGACCTAAAGTGCAAAAGTCTGAGGCTTCCATCTGACAGCTAAACCCGAGAGAGAAGGGGACCTCTTGATCTGCAACGGGCACTGTGAATCACAGTAGTGTAAATAAGAGGCTTTCCTTTATACTGAAAAGACAGGTGTAGGTCAAGGGGTTAGTGTTTAATTTTTGACTTTGAATCATTCAAGTCCCAAATTGCATTTTTAGAAAGTTACGTTCCATTAAGAAAAATATTTTTTCTTTTGAACACTTAGTGATAGTGTCCTCATCAAACTATGGAGCTCATTTACTCTAGCAGGATACAAGCAGCAAAAACTTGGTGCCTGTGAGCCCATCTCTGTGGATGACACAGCTTAGCTAGTGTTCAGCTCATCTCTTACCATAAAAGTCAACATTGCTGTTTAGCTTGACTATTTTCCTCAAGAGCACCAGTCTGAAAGATTCATAAAAACACCTAAGGAAAAAAACTATAAAATGAGCAAAACAACTAGGACCAAATTATTGATAAACTAGTTTCACAGCCTCTGTGGCTAAGCAGTTCTTTTGATCAAGGGGGTGACACCCTAGGTAGACCACAGCCTGGGCCTGGTGAGTGCCTTCTGAAGACTGGTAGAAGCAGCCTGTGTAGCCTTCTTTCCTCTAAAAGCAATTCACCTTAACAGTGAGCCATTCACGGTAGGGAAGGGACTGACACCTTGTTTGGGGGGAATCCACGCACTTCCCTTGTTTCTGGTTTACAGAGGCAGTCACAAGGCCGTATAGTGAGTATTATATAAAAGCCATTAAACCTGAATGCCCTTGGATAAGATTTTTTAAAAAAGAAAATTTATATACATTCACAGTTTAAAATTTTTATTAAAGCAATCTGAATTTCCTGGGTACAAGTCCATGGAGTATGTTATGCAGTGTACCATCTATACATCATGTATTTGGGGAGGGATGGGGAAGTTTCAGGGTTCAGATGTTTTTAATCTGTATTTGAGACCTTGCCATTTTGCTTTAATGATGTAAAACAGAAAAGACTGCAAGGTGTGTAAATATATCAGAAAACAGACGTAAGGGGAAGCAGTAAATACTATTTTAAGCTATTAATTGTATGCTAAAAGCTTCTAAAGCACAAGTGCATATTTTTATACAGCTCTTTTGAAAACTTTCTGTGATCTCCATAAAGTCAGACTTGAGATTTTCCTTTCTCTTTTACCGGCCACCTGTTCTCTATGTATTGTAAATATTAGAAACTCCGTAAACAAAATAGCTTCATTTTCTTTTCAAATCCTCTGTACTCCATGCTGCATTTTTCAGAGGTATAAACAGAGACTGAATTGGAATGCAGAACACTGGAAACTAGGAAATGGGAAGAAAAAAAATGACATCACTACATAATGTGCCAATGTTTTTTTCTATGTTTTGTACCAAAAAAATGAAAACCTATATGATAATTCCATGCACAGAAATGTATCTAAATTATTTTTGTTAGATGATAAGCGAATGTGCTTGGTCAGGACAGCAGCCTGCTTTGTGTTGTGATGCTGCATTATGTAAATGTGATGAAAATGTTTTTGTGAAGTACTTGTAACTAAATTCCTACAGCCATTTTTCATTCCCAACAGCTGTTTTTATTTCATCTCTTTGGCCTAAACTTTTCATTATTTCAAAATTTCGCTTTAGTGTCCTTTATTTCATGAATCACAAACTTTATTTTCAGACACATTAAGTTTAGGATGTCAAAATCCCACTGTAATTTGCCGAGGTTTCAGAAGCTTGCTTGAGGCAAGGACAGTATTTTCCTCACCATGTTGCTTTCACTTCCATTTGGTAAGTAACATTTATCAGATGTCTGACATGTTCTATATGAATGTTACAGCTTACTCCTTATAATGTTAAATTAATTTCATAAGAACTCAAATGTTAAATCCTCGAAGACTGCCAGGTACTAAAGCTTTAACACAACTATGTCCTTTATCAGTGTCATCTATTGTGGAGTAATCTTCTGAATTGCTAACTCAATATTGCATTCCTCTATACAGTCAATTTATTAGAAATATAGTCTTTGAGAAGGTATACTTTATATTTAGTTGTTTACCAAAACATTCTGCATTAAGGGGAGCCAAATTTAGAAAAATTCTAATCTAATACAGGTAGAAGACCCTTAGTACCATGAAGGTCATTCTTTATTTCCAATTTTACTTTATAAAATTGGCTTGCTGTCTAAGCAACTCAGGGCTGGTTAGTCTTGGGGGCAAAGAACCAGCCTCAAGCTGAGAAAGGAATAATACAGTGCCTCAGAAATCTAAGCTCTTGATTGTATTATGTGAATACGGCCAGAGGATGCGGCCATAAGGGCCTGCAACTTGTTGCAAGTTCAACTTTTTAGCAGCAGTCCAGTCTGGGCTGTTACTACAATCTCCCATCTTTGTGAGTTGGAGCTTTCACCTATGGTTTCCATCACTCCGTAGGAATAGATTACTACCTGAAAATGCTACCCCAAAACATATTAGGAAATAAAGCAGTTAAAAATCTATGAATTCCTTGTATAATTCATTGAAGAGGTCTTACACAACTCAAGACCTCATGTAGAATTTCCAAAGAAAAAGCTAGCTAGTAATAGAAGAAAGTCCATCTATAGAGGAAAATTTAAAAGCTTGAAAATGACTTGGAGACACTTAACTAAAGTGATAAACAATATGATGCACTAAGACTAGAAGGCATGTCTGCCTGGTTTAGGGATACTACTCATGCTCTAACGTTAGGATGAAAACTTAGAAAGTTGGCAGAGAGATTTTAATAGATTTCTCCATAAAGCTATCTTCATTGTGAATTAAAAATAATAGTATCGCTTGCCTTGACTCATTCCTAATACTAGGGCACTGGTGTGGCACAGATGACTTTAGGTCTTTTCATCTGTGGATGGTTGGGGAAACAACAGTTTATAAAGATTCCATTTAGGCTGTATGGGCTGAACACATGAGTCAGCAGAAAGGGGAAGGGTCACCCACTTTTCTTTTTAAATTTTTATTCTTTAGTACCCAAAGGGAAGAAAGTATTCTGTTTTAAGGTTGCTGGGGTGAGGAAGATGATTAAATCTGAGTGGTCACTGCAAGTAACTACACAAATGAAGTCATTGTCAAGTATTTCCTATCTGAAGCAATGGTAAGACAAATCAAGCACTTTGGGCTCACCGTCTCTGACCTGCGACAGAAGTCTTTAGTGACCTAGCTGTCATCCCTGGCCTCTATGAGGGGCAGGTGCTGGTCTAGTACCAATCTAGCTAACAGTTATTTGGCTGGGGGCAGGGGGGGAATATACCCTTATAAGATTCCTATTGATCTGAGTTTAGAGGAATTGTAGTAAACTAAAACAAAAAATGATTGATTTGGCACCACCAACAAAAAAAAGTACACGTACCTTTTAAAAAAATTTTTGGTGGTAATAATGTAGAGGCAACAAAAGTATGCTAAATAAAGGGAGTGAGAGGTCCGAGCACTTTTCTTTGTTAAACATAAGCTCATACAATTTCTGGTATAGAATTTTCTTTAAGCCTAATTAAAGAATTTTCTATACAGATGCCATGTATAATTTAGTTCTGTATCAACCAATATTTGCGCTCTGATCTGAGTACTTTTGAAAATTCACTGCTAAAATTAGACCCATTTCTTAAGTTAAACAAATACCTGAGAAGCAAGTTGCTGCTGGTTTGCAGGCCCACCAAAAAAAAAAAAAAAATTCAACCAGAATTTTATGGAGTAACAAGAAAAAGTAATACATTACAAGGGGCACTTGGCTGGCTTAGTCATTACAGCATGTGACTCTTGACCCCAGGGTTTTGAGTTCAAGCCCCACACTGGGTGTGGAGATTACTAAAAAATAAATAATACAATACAAATTTGAGTATTACCCTATATTTGATGTTCAAGGTTCATGCACAAGTATTCCAAATTCCTTCAACTACACAGCAAGATGTAAGTCACCATTCTCCTCCAGTTTTTGAAATAATTTTAAACTGCGCAATCCAGATTCTCTTTCTCCATTTTTCCACAAAATAATGAGATGATCAGCAGAACAAGTCACTAGTCCATGATCTTCAAAGTACAGAAACATCTGTAAAGACATTTAAAGCTACTGATTATAGGAAATTTAAAGAGAAGAGGCAAGGCTAATTATACACTAACATGGCTTGCTTTGGTTTTGAATATAAAACTCCTTATCATTTTTCATGAGAAATTAATGGTCTATTTATGTGACTAATATCCTGTATTTTAATAATCAGAACTGTAACAGCTATTTTTTTTGTGTGTGAAATACATGAATTCCCATTGAATCTTCTCAATTTTACCATAATCTAATTCTTCAAGTATTGGTTTTATATCAGAAGTCCTGCCAGAATTGCTTCATTTATTGTACACACTAATAGCTACCAGTAAAATGTCTGAATTCCAAATTCTGTACGATAAACACTGGCTTCAGCTCTCTAATCAGTCAGTAAGCATTTACTTAGGGAACCCAGCATAATAGATGGCACTACCATGAAAAAGGTGCTAGTTCAGTTGTTAAAACAAGGACTATATAATCAGGTCCTAAAAAATGTAGTTCACACTATGATTTGCCACAGAAAAAGGGAACATAGATCAGTAACCACTGAAAATGTCAACGGTTCAAAAACAAAATTTCCCAAATAAAGGGAAGGTCATGCATAGTGAAAGGCTGGGAGCTAAGAATAAAAAATACGGAGTGTTGGTGAGAAGGCAGCATGAACACCGATGAAGAACAGAGCTCCTCAAAGGCAAGACTGAAATAAAGGATAGAAATACAATATTAAAGAACAAGAGGATGAGAGTTCTCTCTGAAATAACACAGTTTTGAAGATAGCACGATAAGGCCTCAGCTGATGGGATATAAGAGGGGCAATTATGGAAGCAAATACTACAGGAGATGGAAGAGAAAGAATTTAGATGGCTAGAGAGTAAGGATAAAAATATAAAAGGAATGAGGAAATTGAGGTAACAAAAGAGGAAATTTCATAGACACTTAAAGAAAATACTTCAGGGTCAACACTTGACGGCAAATATGCCACTTTGAATGTTTCCCCCACCATTTAAAAACCTTTAATGGGTACCTATTTTAAAAATTAAGTCCAAATTCTTCAGCCTTACATACAAGGACATTCATAATCTGACCCAAAACTACTTTCTCAGGCTTAATCTCCTACTGGCGTCTATTCACGGGAAACCACTGCTCCAGCCTAGCCAGTCTGCTCTTTGCCAGCAAGGAGATCCTATCTTTGCACTTCTGTCTACCACATTACATCCTTACTCCCCAACTACACTATAACCACCTAAGCAAAGTTAAAAAGCAGGACAAAATGAAAACAATTGGGCTACCTGTTAGAGGAAAGCAAAGATAAACAAGACAGGATACCCAACATCAGGAAACTTACCGTCATAAGGCTATCTATGTTAACCCTCCCTAACCTTCAAGGTACAGGTCAAGTCCATTTTCTATCTTCCACTAACCATCTTCTCCTAATTCCTGAGTACTCACTGGGTACAATCATCTGGGTCTAACAGCTTAGGTTAACAGCTTACTAGAACTATAGCCTTCCTGTCTACTCAAGTATGAGTCCCAAGAGGGTAAGGATTATGTTTTAGGTTTCTTTGTAAACTCCAGTGTCTAGTACACTGCCCTAAAATAGAAGAAATGAATGCTAGGCATAAATGCACTTCCACATGGAAAGTAATTCGTTCCTCCCTGGCAATGAGGGAAAAACAATTCAAGAAATTCAATCCTTAAGGCTCTGCTTATACTGTTATCAGTTCCAATCATCTATCTCAATTGATCTTATTCCTTTCATTATAGGCAACAGTGTATATAGTAAAATACTAATGTATTTGGATTTCCCCAAGTTTGAACATTTTCATATATGCACAACGCTAACCAAGCCCTGTGTTTTATGAAGCTAACAATATATCCTTCCAAAGGAGGTAAAAACAGGGCTCGGTTCTTGAATTTGATTAAGACCCCCTGAATTCAATTCTGGAAGACTTTAACTCTACATATAACCCCAACTGTCCACGCACCCTCTACTACTGTTAAACATATGTATTCCACGTTATTCACCTTGTCCCATTGTTGGCTGTCTCCATCTCACAAATAATGGTGATTAAGCCCATATTTAGAAGTAAAACATTCCTTGCTTACTCACATGGTATCTCTGTAAAGGGAGATCTTAATTGCATGTACTATAACCTATCCATGTTTAGATTCAGAAAAAAACGATACCAACTGAGTGAAGAGCAGCGAGATGCAAAAGTGGGAATTCCCTAAACCTTTATATGCCTATTAAAAATCATACCTCCACAGATGAGGAGTGTCCAATCAAATCTCCAATAAGCTCCAATGAACACGGAGGGGCATTTTCCTGTTGCTTTTTAACAGGTTGGCTGGCTTGTTTGTTTACTCTTCCAAATCCCCACATGTTAAAAAAACCTAGAAAAGTAATCATTTCAGTCATTCCCAAAATTACTATGCTCTCTACTCAGAATAAAAGATCAGAAGAACAAAATTTAAATGTAAATATGTTACTTCCTTTCATCTTAACCACAAGGTTTGTTGCTCATCTCTTTTATTGCCCCTCCTCACCCACTGGTGAAGGTGCATTCACATGACAAAATGCACTGGGAATAAAAGAGACCAGCAAAAGGCCTGAATGCCAGTGTCAAAAAAAACAAAACAAAACAAAAACCACACAACTCAGATCAACAAAGGGTAGATGAAAAGCAACATATATGTCCAAATACAATACCCTATGACTTCAGATGACCAGAAGAAACTCCAGAGGTACTAGCATCAGATTTCCTATGCAAAGGATGCTAATGAACCAGGATTTTGTTTTTCAAACCCAATACCTGCAGGTCAAGAGCTCAGGAGATTATGATATAAACACAAAAGTGTATTTTTCCATAAATTGAGTTCGACGTTAATGCTTCCAGGCTGAAAGAACACTTTAATGTGATAACTGATGGTACAAATCCCATTTGTGTATCAAGCATTATAATAGACAATATAAAATGATTGAATACTTCAATGGGCCATTTGTTCAGATTACCAGAAAGTAAGAGTTTCCCCTTAAAACAGTAAAATACTAGTTGACTTGAATTGAAATAAACAGGCAGTTCTACATTAAAGCAACATTAAGATGTGAATATGAGATCCCAATTAGGATATGCTTCATGTAAACATGCCTATTTGGAGCACTGTATATTATTCCTGTGGTTGCACTTAACTGCCTTTCTTCTGTTTTTCATAGGAGAAAAGACACACCTGTTGGTACAGGTTCAGCTGCAAGCTGCTGTTTTTCTCTTAACTCCCAAATGCGTACACTGCCATCTTCCGAGCATGAGATTAACTGCCTGTCAGAAAAAAAAAAAAAATAACTGACAAAAAGCAAGTGCACAACAAGGGCCTATGCTAAATTTGCAGTGAAAGAAATCAGCGCCCTCAACTGCTTCTCTTCAGCTCTTGGCAGGAGTTGATAAAAATCACTATTTAACATGGCTTTACAATGCAAAGTAAAAGCACTCCTCAGGAAGGGCACATGTTATATTGTCCCACTGGCTTAAATGTGATAAACGTATCATCCCGTTTTTAAAAATGTGGGGCGCCTGGGTGACTCAGTCAGTTGAGCGTCTGACTTCAGCTCAGGTCATGATTATCACAGCTTGTGAGTTCGAGCCCCACATCAGACCTTGTGCTGACAGTTCAGAGCCTGGAACCTGATTCTGTGTCTCCTCCTCTCTCTATGCCCCTCCCCTGCTTGTGCTCTGCCTCTGTCTCTCAAAAATAAATAAATGTAAAAAAAATTTTTTTAAATGTATTCAGGAAAATTATGAATTAATTACACTTTCACAATATCCTGAACAGCCCCCTTCCCTCCTCTCACTGTATCTCTTCTCAGGGTGGCTCTCACTCTAAAAGTATCCTGCAAAGAAAATAGTATTCCCCTCCTACAATTTCATCCCTAGAAACTCAGAAGCCAAATTTACCCTTAGAAGAAAGAAAGCCCTTGCTTAGTAGCCCCACATAACAAGGAGATGACCATTTCTTTCTGGCCATCAACAACTGCAACAATAAGGTGGGTTTGTGGAAAATACATGAAGAAAAATAAGCACATAGTGCCCAAAGTCTACTTCTTATACATTTTGTAACACATTACCACAAACTCTTTTGTTAGAGACAGCCATGGGTATTCTCCATTTCTAAAAGAATCTAACAGGTCAAACCATGGACCAAATAACTTTGCCACTTCAGAAATTACCATGGTCGATCTGGGAAATGGGAATCTATTTCATTTGTTGTAGAATGGATGGGACGACGGGAAGAAAGAGGAGACACAGGATCTGAAGCAGGTTCCAGGCTCCGAGCTGTCAGCATAAAGCCCGACGCCGGGCTCGAATTCACAAATCGCAAGATCACGACCTGAGCTGAAGTCAGACGCTCAACCGACTGAGCCACCGAGGCACCCCTGTAAATGACCTTTTTAAATAATACTAACATGATCTTTGTCAAAGTTAGGGTGGTATTTTTTCATTAAACTACAGTTGGCAGACTACAGCTCATGGGCTACTCTGGCCCACCTTCTAGTACCTGTTTGGAAGTTTGGCAATGTGCAGGACACTGGAGTCATGGGCAGTTTTCTGGCAAGCAATCACACGCTTCATTTGAAGGTTATACACATATAAACCCCTTCCAACGGCAGCAAATACATTCTGGTCAGGAGAAAAGTTCACAAATGGACATAAAATTAATCCTTACCACTACGTAGTACAACAGATTTCCAGTCCTGCTATGACATCAGAAGGCCACTATCCCTTCCATATTCAATAGGGAACTTCCAAAGAAGTTCTGTATGACAGCTAAAAAGAGGAACTCTGGCTGGCAGACTGGTGGTACAGTGGAAGCTGCTGAGGCACAACCTAGATTTTCATTCACCGAACACTATACCCTTAAGAATGCAAGAGACCTACAAATGCAAGGACACAAAAAAGCCTATGCTATAGTGGCACTATCATCTTAAGATCCTCCGAAGAATTCACAAAAAACATTTTTTCCAAATGTATTATTAGAAAACTTTAATCTTTTGAAGGTACTTTTACCAATATTTTTCTTCTTATAGCCTAACAACATCTCATTTTCCAGAGAAACAAGTTAAAATTTTAGAAGATTAAAGCGACACACTAAGTTCAGACATGGAGCTGATACTACAATCAAGGTCATGTTACTCCAGTCCCTTGCTCTTGACTCACACCACACTACCTAGCTTCTGAAATTATTTTGCACATCACTAGACTTTTGGTAGCACTTGCCTGGGAATCCTTTTCTTATGCAATAGGTACCCCAGTGAGGCAGACCTTTCAAAAATCCCTAAAGATCTAGCCTCCCTGTTTTTACCAAAAAAATTCTCTTGAGGAATTCTTCTCTTACATTGAGGCCTACAAACCCAACTCAGACTCACAGTATCTAGACCATAGCATGCCCTCAAGGCTTACCAGAGTTTAAATGTGGAAAGATCCCCTTGATCCTCTGGATCAGTACTCTGCACTTAGCAGCGCAAAGTGAGGGCAAGTGTCAGGAGCATTAATGAAAACTGGTCAACGTGCTAAAATCTAGAGCCCTATGGGTAGCAATTCAAATGCAAAGAAACCCCAAAAACTAGTTCTACAAATCAGGAAATCTGTGCAGTTTAAGTGACGTACCAAAGAGCACAAAGGAAATTATAAACACAGCTGGAGAATTAATGAACTCTTGGGCAGCTATTACTCATCAGAGTCACTCTATCAATCACTTATAATCAATAATTAATGTCCCCTTACAGAAAAAACAAACCCCTATAAAAGAAGAAATACTAGGGAAAACAGTAATGCTTTATCAAGAATTTATAGCAATTAATACACCTCAATCAAAATTTGTGAGAAGAAAAAATACAAAATGAAAAAACTTTAAATACTAATTTTTACAAGCAAAAAAGGTACCAAATAAAAAACATAATTTTTAGGGCCATAACTCTTATTTAATCCAACCAAAGATTTCAACAGAGTTTTTAAATCTATAGACATGTAATCACTTCTTTGCCTCACAGACAGGAGCTAAGATTAAAATGCTTTTTTAATGGAAGTTCTGCAATCTGAAAAATATCAGAGTATTAAAAAAAATTTTTTAACGTTTACTTATTTTTTTTTTTTAATTTTTTTTTTTCAACGTTTATTTATTTTTGGGACAGAGAGAGACAGAGCATGAACGGGCGAGGGGCAGAGAGAGAGGGAGACACAGAATCGGAAACAGGCTCCAGGCTCTGAGCCATCAGCCCAGAGCCCAACGCGGGGCTCGAACTCACGGACCGTGAGATTGTGACCTGGTTGAAGTCGGACGCTTAACCGACTGCGCCACCCAGGCGCCCCGAACGTTTACTTATTTTTGAGAGACAGCTCAAAAAATAAAAAACAGCTTTACTTATTGTGAGAGAGGGAAGGGCACAGAGACAGGGAGACACAGAATCCAAAGTAGACTCCTGGCTCTGAGCTGTCAGCACAGTGCCCGAAGCAGCCTAAACACGGGGCTTGAGATCATGACCTTGAGATCAACCTTGAGATCTCACCAACCTTGAGATCATGACCTGGGCTGAAGTTGGACGCTTAATCAACTAAGCCACCCAGGCACCCTGAAAAATATCAGAACATTTTAAAGCACAACTTGAATACGGGGAATGATACCTTTTTATATCCATCATGAGATTAAGTTTAAAAATTTCTGCTCAGCACTCTCAACAATAGCCAAATTAAAAGAGCCTAAATGTCCATCAACTGATGAATGGATAAAGAAATTGTGGTTTATACACACAATGGAGTACTACGTGGCAATGAGAAAGAATGAAATATGGCCCTTTGTAGCAACGTGGATGGAACTGGAGAGTGTGATGCTAAGTGAAATAAGCCATACAGAGAAAGACAGATACCATATGTTTTCACTCTTATGTGGATCCTGAGAAACTTAACAGAAACCCATGGGGGAGGGGAAGGGGAAAAAAAAAGAAAAGAGGTTAGAGTGGGAGAGAGCCAAAGCATAAGAGACTCTTAAAAACTGAGAACAAACTGAGGGTTGATGGGGAGGGGGAGGGGGGGTGATGGGTATTGAGGAGGGCACCTTTTGGGATGAGCACTGAGTGTTGTATGGAAACCAATTTGACAATATATTTCATATATTGAAAAAAAATTTTTTTAAATAAAAATAAAAATTTCTGCTCAGGTCATTATCTTACAGTTCATGAGTTCAATCCCCACATCAGGCTCTGCTCTGACAGCACAGAGCCTGCTTGAGATTCTCTCTCTCCCTCTCTCAAAAATACATAAACTTAAAAAAAAAATTAGACACTGGGTGCATTAAAAAAGACAAGTTTACAGATTTTTTTTTCTTTACCTCTTCATCCCATGTGAAGTGATGAATAGAAATGTCATTAGGTTTTTGACAGAGTTTTATTTCTTGTTGGGTGTCCAGCTGTGGAGATGGGTCCCAGAAGTTGCATTCACGGGCCTGCACTGTCCAGTCCAGAATATTCCAGATGATCATTTCTCCAACATGGGAGCCAGTTACAAAACTCAAATCTAGGCAGAGTTCATATTTGTCTCTTTAGTGATCATTTTACATACGCTAAAGGTAAAAAAGAAATAGACTGCCGGGTAGTAATGCTCTATAAAACCACAGCATTTAGAATAGTGAGGTACCTAGACAAGCCAAACAAAAAGATCAATATAACAGCATAGCAAGACCAGAAACAGACTCAAGTTTACTTATTTAGTATGTCATAACAGCATTTCAATTCAGTGAGGGAAGAAATGCCTCACACTGGAATATTTGGTTAACTATTTGGGGAAGAGAAATAAAAGAACCTTATCTTGGATCATATACTATTTAGAAGATGGACCCAGAGCACCTGGGTGGCTCAGTAAGTTAAGCGTCCGACTTCGGCTCAGGTCTTGATCTCTTGGTTCATGAGTTCGAGCCCTGCATCAGGCTCTGTGCTGACAGCTTAGAGCCTGGAGCCTGCTTTAGATTCTGTGTCTTGCTCTCTCTGACCCTCCCCTGATTGCACTCTATCTGTCTCTCTCAAAAATAAATATTAAACATTAAAAGAAGGGAGGGGAAGGGGAGGGAACAGACCCTTCTCCTATGTTTCTCTTTTACTATCACACTACTACCATGTAACACTTGTGACACCAGATGTGGGGGGGGGGTTCCCCACACCAAGCAATTGTGACACCAGCAGAGTGTCCTACAATTTAACTCCTTTCTGACACTCTACCTGGAGGAAGCATCAGATCCCACAGGTTAAGGGCTCAGTCCCACAAGACTCCCTCTACTTCAGATGCCAACTGCAAGTCCAGGTTGTTACCTGTGCTTCTAACCAATCAGCTATAAATCAGAGGCTCTCATACCCTCTCCTTGGGTTCAATTAATTTGCTAGAGAAGCTCACAGATCTCAGGAAAACAGTTTACTGTTTACCAGTTTATTATAAAATACGATAAAAGACAAAGATGAACACCCAGATGAAGGAGATGTGTAGGACAGGGTGTGTGGGAAGGCTGTGGAGCTTCCATGCCCTCTCCAACCATGCCACTTTCCCAGCACCTCTACATGCTGGGCAATTAGGAAGCTCTCCAAACCCCATACTGTTGGGATTTTTATGGAGGCTTCATCATGTAAGCATGATCAATTATTCCATTTCCAGCCCCTCTGCGGAAAATGAGGGGTAGGCTAAAACTTCCAAGTTTCTAGTCATGGCTGGTCTTTCTGGTGACCAGCCCCCATCTAGAAGCCCACCAAGAAACAAAGGTCTCATTAGAACAAAAGTCACTACTATCACTCAGAAAATGCCAAGAAATATCGATCAGCAAATATTAGACCAAATATTAGAACAAAAGATGCTCCCTGAGCTCTTATCACTTAGGAAATTACAATGGTTTTAGGAGCTCTGTGCCAAGAACTGGGGGCAGAGAGCAATATATATTTTTTCTGTTATTTTACATAGACCAAAGTAAGTTTCAAATACATTAAAACATTAAAAGTACTTAAAGGACTGAAAAAATAAAGGTAAATGCTTTTATAAATATGGAGTGCTAAAAAGCTCTAAAGGAGGCAGGGTGGGGAAAGAATGATACATATGTAAATATCTGCTTAGTGAAAACAATCATATTTAAATGACAAAAGGCTGGGAAAAATTTGCAACTCAGGTATCAAAATGGGTTTATTATACTTGATAAATAAGGAGTTCCTGGAAACCAAATTTTGATAAATACTCCATCACAGAAAGTGGGCAAAAGACCTGAACAGACAAAATAAGAAATACAAATGGTCAGTAAACATGCGCAAAGATGTTCAAGTGCCTTAATAATCAAAAAAAATCTAAAAGCAGTAAGAGGGGCACCTGGGTGGCTCAGTCAGTTAAGCGACCAACTTTGGCTTTGGTCATGATCTCACAGTTTCTGAGTTTGAGTCCGGCATCTGGCTCTGTGCACTGACAGCACAGAGCCTGCTTCAGATCCTCTGTCTCCTCCTCTCTCTCTGCCCCTCCCCAGCTTGCATGTGCAATCTTTAGCTCTCAAAAATAAACATTAAAAAATAATAATAAAGCAGTAAGATACTACTCAATGACTTGAAAACTGGGAAAGATGAAAAAATAGCAAAGTCCCCAATGCTGGCAAAAGCATAAAATCAACATACTTCCGTACTAATGTCCTAGTATAAATTGGTACAATCCTTTCAAATGTGGTGATATGCATCAAAACCTTAAAAAAAATGTAAACCCACTGATCCAGCAATTCCACTTATAGAAATGTATCCTGAGGAAAGCACATAAAAGACAAATGTAACAAGGCTATTATACGTAATATTAACAATGTGAATTGGGAACTGAATAAATAAGACATCTATAAAATTAAACAGTAACTGTTATTAAAAGTTGAGTTGGAGGGGTATCTGGGTAGCTCAGTTAAAAGTCCAACTTCGATTCAGGTCATGATCTCATGGTTTGTGGGTTCAAGCCCTTGAGTCGGGCTCTGTGCTGACAGTGTGGAGCCTGCTTGGGATTCACTCTCCCTCTCTCTCTACCCCTCTGTCACTTGCATTCTCTTTCTCTCTCTCAAAATAAATAAATAAACTTAAAAAAATTTTAGTTGTAAAAGTATGTTTATACTGCTACGGAAATATATTCATGACATACAGTTACAAAACAGCAAGCCATATGGATATACACATACATATTCTCAGAAAAACACCTAGAAGTATATGGACCAGTGCTTAATACTGTCGTGTGGGATAATTTTCCTTTTTACAGACTTTATGTTTCTCACTCTTTTCTCATTGCTCTACCATGACTAGATATTACTTCTACAATAACAAGTTTTTACTACCTTAAATGAAAATAAAATTAGTGGGCCAACTAAGACACTTTGTAAATTACATAATTAATAGAAAATGTACTACTGCTGACACTAAAAACTATCTTAAATAAATTTAATTTATTTTAATCCTTACATATTTACGTAAGGTAGAAGAGAACAATACAAGGTGAGTCTAAAAACCCAAGTTCTAAATGTGGCTCTGTTACTAGCCATCTAGTCCTCAGAAAGTCATTTAACCTCCCTCTATCTTGGATTTCTCATGCACTAGATGAAAAAGCCAATAATAAATGTGTACGAATTTAAAAAAGACATCAAACATGATCTTTGAGTCTCTGGCATTATTCTGAGCTCCTAGTATTATCCCAAATTAATGGTATTAAAACCTCCAGTATTTCTAATTTAGGAATACAAAGATGAGTTCGTTATGATTTAATGATTCCATTTACCAAATAAGCCAGGACAGAAATATCTAATAATTAGATGAACAATCTCTTAGAAATAAAAAATTACCAGCACTCATACATGTAAACTTTATTTTGTCTTGGTTCCAAGACCAAGTTCTATAGTTTATTAACGGACTACTAATAATGGGACAGTTAAAGCTGTACTACTCTTTCCATGATCTTCTTTTCCATCCCTTTCCCTCCTCTTTCCAATTTCATTCAAACTACATAAGAAACAGAGACATTAGGGAGTGAAGATTCTTGACACTAACTGCATGCCATCATAACAGAGTCAACTGAACTTGAGACCACACGGCTGTCCGCTCTAACTTAATCTGCCCGAGTGTCTGTGATTCATCTATGCAACAGAAACAAGATATCTGTGCCCAGCTGCAATTAAAACAAAATACTGGCATTCAGCTATGTCAGTGTAGTTTATCACTATATATTCTCAAACAGGTCACTCAGAATGTTTCACACAAAACAAGCTCAATGATATACAGGGATGGATTTTCATCCTATGTTAGTATCAAAAGTCACTTAGTATAGGGGCACCTGGGTGGCTCAGTCAGCTAAGCGTCTGACTGCAGCTCAGATCATGATCTCATGGTTTGTGGGTTTGAGCCCCGCATCAGGGTCTGTGCTGACAGCTTAGTCTGGAGCCTGCTTTGGATTCTGTGTCTCCCTCTTCTCTGCCCCTCCCCCCCCACACACACTCTGTGTCTCTCAAAAAAAAAAAAAGTCACTTAGTAGGAACTCCCATTCTTATATCTGTCTACCTTCCCTCACAAGTACTAATAATTTGTGATTACCATACCATGCTGTCAACACAAGAAAAGGAATAAAATGGAGGAGCACCAGAGCCTTTTGCCAGAAAATATAAACTAGGTTATCTTGTATGTCTGTTAGAAAACCTTCTGCTGAGGCATTCAGATCTCTTTTTCATTCATTATCAGATTCTCTGTTATTCATTATTCACATCTATGGGAATTCTGTCCTACCATTCTAAGGTTGCCTGTGGCCACCTCCATGAAAATGCACTTCTCCTATGAAATACAAACCCAGAACTAGCCACATCTTCCACTGGTAATTGGTAGTAAAAGAAACAGGGCTGAGAGTGGAGCTGGGAACCGTACAACATAATAATTTCAGGATCACTGATATCTTCAGGACAGCAAACCTACCTATGTACAAAATAGAGACTGTCACAATATCATTTTCAAATTTTAACAGACTACTTGACCATATAGGATTCCTCAAAATGCTTAAAGCTTATTTATTATCTGTAATGTAATTTTATAGTCAGGGAGTTAATAAAGTAAAAACTACTATGGGTTTCCTGTAATTTTCATTAACAATATTTTTGCTTTAGATTTCCATTTTCTTTCCCTTAAGAAGTTGGCAAAGAAATATTTTCTGGTTCAACTGTTACAAGCTAAGCTTCTTTGCATATTGCACAGCAGAAGGGTCATGAAGCTAAGACCTCTTCAGTAACATCCTATCACCTTCAATAAGGAACCGTGCTGGATCAATGACACCAATGTTTTACCACTAAAACAGAACAAGGAGGCATGACCAGTGTAATGGGCAAGGACAATGCGTGCTTTTCTTAGCAGCTCCAGGGCCCTGGAGTTTAAGACTCTGTGTCAGAGGGTCTCCCAAACAAGAACTTGTCTTCTGTGCTGCCATCCATGGCTAGAAGAGAAGAGAACCCCCAGAGAAAAATCAAAGGGTGTTCCCAACATGTTAACTTCTATCACCACAGACAATCTGGTCCTTAGAAAGACTTGCAGTAAGTAAGACTTGTGTAAGAAGATGGCTATTAGGCAAGAGCCTTTTGGAGCTGGGAAGGACATTCACACATGTATCTGGGCATGTGATTAAATAGCATAAAAATGGAGAATACATTTGGTGCTATCTGTGCCCCTCTTTCCTTTTGCCTCAAGGTTATACAAAGTATTCTTCAAAAAGAGCCAACCCAGGTCTCAGGTCTGGGAGTGCAGTCCAGTCCTCCCACTACATTACATTCATGGCATCCTCACAAAACTCTTACGGTTTCCTTCAGATTATCAAACTGAAGCCACCAAGGACTCTTCTTGTGTGACCCCGGAATACCAATTAACCAGCAGAGTTCTGATGATACAAGGCATCATTTTACTTCAAAGTGAGCCAACCAAATCCCAGGACTGGTAGTGTCGGATCCTATTCTGCCATCTGATGACAGATTCCAGGAGACATGATTAAAATCACTGTGAAGCCAAATAAGATGTCTGGCAAGTCAAAACATACAACCATGAGGATGGGCAGATATGACCCAATTTTTGCAGACCTTTACTTTATCTTGGTGTTATTCTCTGGAAGTCTTCAATCATGATTGCAATCCACTTGAATTCTGCTCCTTCTGATCTAAATGTATAACTTGCTACGTAGTATTATACTGTGTGGTCTACAAAAGAGGAACTGGCCAGAACCATCTGCCAAAAATGCTGAAATGCTACTAGGCATTAGTATTCATAGCCTATGACAGTCATCTCACAGCTATCACACAGCACCTGAGATAATTATGCTCCCCCCATCATCTTTTTTCTCTGCCCCACTCTATTCTTCTTGGACCTATATCTTAGACCTATCTATAAAACTTGATCAATTCTACTGGAATAAACCCCACATTATATTAGACTGCTGACCTGTACTAGTCTAAAGCATTATTTTAATGATGGTAATTACAGAACTCTAGAACAAAATAAGACCAAAGTTCTGTCAACAAGTGCAAAATTTTACATAAAAGAAACAAATACACAGTAAGCTTACCATTGACATTAACCAAGGAGAGAATATTATCCTGGTGATCAAGGAGGCGCTTAATTTCAAGAATATCCCATTCCAGTGATTCTCCTGTTGGTGTTACCAACCTGAAAATTACTAAATGAAAATACAGATATGATTTTATTAAAATGGTCAAAGAAGATGGAATTCTATTTCTGGTGGGAAAAAAAAGGTAGTATTTCATTAAGTGAGAAAGATCTAAAATATTGAAAAACCCAACTCCAAAGAAAGCTTTATTCATACCACAGTATTTCTTTCAAATGCTTGAGATGTTTGAGATGATCTACTAAAATCCCAAATAAGTGTGTCTTTACAAGTGTTCTTTTATTAAAACTCTTCTAAACCCATTACCAACCAGAAATCCCCATCTTCTCTGGGGCTTCAAGGTATATCTGGCTAACCCGCCTCCCTCTCTCCCTGGTCAGTGACTGGTCCACATTCCAGAGTCATCTCCATCATCATCATTCTCTACTCATGTTCTCAGGTCAGTATGCACTGCTACAAAATAAGCTACAAATTCACGTTTAACTTCAACTCAGTAAAGACGTGAGAAGCTATTTTTTTTTTAACTTTTCCTTATATTAGGTGTAAACTATTAAATTATATGTTCTCTGAGAACATGCCTTATAATTTTTCTATGTCAATATTCAATGTGTTGCTTTACTCATTGTCTGACATTAACAAATAGTTTTATTTAAACTTGTATAAATCCTAACTTTAATCAATACAGAAAACCAAAAATCAAATCAACAGGAGTGATTCTATCAACATTTACTAAATATCTTTTATGTTCCAGCAACTTAGATATTAAATGTGAATAAGGCCCAGTCACTGCCCTGAAATGCATTCTAGAGTGGGAGTGAGACTTATAAACAAGCTTATAATCAATGTATTAAGGGCTACAAATAAGCCAATGTACCAAGTACTATGGATGCTCACAGATTAGGATCACTAATATCTGAGAAGTGGGAAGGTCTCAGAAGTCAGATCCTTTCCAGGTGGTGGCTAATTACTAAAGTCTCTCTTTTTATTTTTTTACATTCCTCTCTGGAAAATGGGTCATACCACATTCCTTTGTATCTCTCTGGATAATATTTTACCAACTGATGAATCTCTAGAAATAAAGTTATTTCATCCTGACAGCCATTCACATTCAAACTGTGGCTGGCAAAAGCAGGTCTTTCATTAAATAAAAGAACTCTTCCTGATACCTGTCCAACTTGTGTAAAAATTCTATTTATAGTTGGAATACTACTAAATGATCTTGAGATTGGGAATGTGGAATAATGGGCAGTGTATTATTTAATCAAACTAACAAAAAGTAACCTCAGATACGGACAAAAAAACCTTACAAAGGAGGCTTCCACAAAGAACTACCAAGTACTGGAGATAATGTGAAACTGTTCAGTGAATCCATAAATATGGCCCCTACAGACAAGTATTCATAGGGTCACCTATGTAGTAACTTCAAGGAAATAAAACAAATATAAATTAGATCCTAAGACAAAAGAGAAGGAATAGTGAATTCTAAAAAAGGGTTAAGAACAAGAGCCCTGGTTTTCTGAACCAAGATGAGGTGTCAGAGCTGACAGCCTTGCTGATTAGCCTCATAGTTACATGAGTACTCACAAGCTGTATTTCCTGGTGAAAGTAGCCCGGCCTCACATAGAAAAAGAGAAATTAGTATGGAACATTTCAAACCAAGGAAATGGGCACAAGCTTGGTCTTGGAAATAGAAAAGACACTCTATTTACGAGAATGAAATGTATTTTTATGTAAGAAAAAATGGCACTATATTTTATAATGATACTAATAAAATGCAAAACCTTGTTTTTAAGAATACGTATTTTTTACAAATTATTTTCTGAATATAACCAATTCTCATTTCTTCCTTTTTTTTACATGATATTCTAACTTCTGATGAGGCATTAGTAATACTTTTATTACCACATAAATGAATTGACTCAATTACTCATTCATTCAATAAAAATCTCCCATCTTTTAACAGAAAGGTGAATAAAAAGCTTTAGTTGTCAAGGAGCTCACATTCTGCAAGGGAAGGGCAAGGAAAGAACAAAAAGCAAAGAGAAGTTTTTTGTTTTTTTTTAAGTAGTAAGTGAAATGACACATAAGAGATTATGAGAACACAGAAGAAAAACTTCTAGGAGCAGAGAGGATAGTTAAGCAAGCCTTCAGCCTCAAAAAATGTCATTCTGGAGCTCCTAAAGAGTAAGTAGGAATTAGCAACATCAAAGAGGACAATGAGTAGGGGGCAAAGACCTGATACAGAGTGACTGGAGAAATGAAGGCAAAGAGGTGAGAAACACCTCAGGTGGGAGAACCCAGGGCAATTCAGTTTTGACAAACACGTGATACAGGACTCAGAGGAGAGAGGAGGAAGAGAATAAAGAACTGGATGTGATCTGCTGAAAAGTCTAGACTTTATCTTACTGGTGGTCTTATATTGGTCCCCCGGAGCAAAGATTTCATTCATGTAAGGCAAAAATGGGAAAAAATAAGGGCCACATACATTTTGTACAAAAATATATTCAGTTTAAAGTCCTATTCTTTGCTGAGATCACATGTTTCATACTTTTTTATTAAAAAGTAATTTTTACAAAATGATGATGGTAAATGATAGCTTTTTTTTTGTATTTAATGATTTTACTAAGTAAAATACTAATTTGGCAACTCTCAGTTGATCTCCAAAAAGATGAACTATCATACGAGTCACAAATTTGAGAGTCTAGAAATGACTGCTATAGACAAAGGAAGCAGGGGAGTAGCCTGCCTTTTAGAGAGATCACCCCTAGCACCTCCTGGGAAATGTATCGGAGAAGCCCTAACCTAGAGGAGGAGAAGGCACTGGAGAAGCACTACAGTAGAGGAAGGAAGATAAAGTTTGGAGGTTAGCACAACAGAACAGGCAAGAGGGGAGATGAGAGCCTGAACTGAGCAACAGTAGTGAGACGGAAAGAAGAGAATCAAAGTACTTAAGGCAGGAGTCCTCAAAGTACGGCCTACAGGCCAGCAACCCTAGCACCACCAAAACACCTGTTAGAAATGAAGAAACTCGGACCATACTCCAGACCCACTGAATCAGAAACTCTAGGGGTAAGACCGAGTAATGTGTGTTTTTTAACAAACCATTCAAGTCATTTTAATGCACACTAAAATCTGAGAACCACTGAGTTAGCAGTAAAATCAGCAAAACTCAAAGTGACTGGCTCACTACAAGAGGAGAAAGCCAGGGAAAAGTTAGGCTTCTTTCCAGCTTGATCGAAAACATGAGAAAACTAAATTTCTGCAAGGAAGAGAAAATAAACTAAACACAAAATAATTCTAATACCTTTTGAAACTACTCTATGGAAAGAAAGGGTAATAAGCACAGTGTTTAGAAAATTACTTCTCTGACATGATTACACATGGCAAGGTCAGTTGAAGAAAGAGAAACTTGGCTGCAAAGCCATGGAGTCTGCAAACAGCAGTTAATAAATGGTAAACAATTAGCCCATGTCTTACTGGCATTTGCAAATATGCCAACTGATGGTCACAGCAAATCTCTTATCTGGCCTATGGAGAAAGTAGCACATGGCACAAAAACAGACACATAGACCAATGGAATAGAATAGAAACCCCAGAACTAGACCCACAAACGTATGGCCAACTAATCTTTGACAAAGCAGGAAAGAATATCCAATGGAAAAAAGACAGTCTCTTCAGCAAGTGGTGCTGGGAGAACTGGACAGCAACATGCAGAAGGTTGAAACTAGACCACTTTCTCACACCATTCACAAAAAATAAACTCAAATGGATAAAGGATCTGGAATGTGGATAGGAAAACCATCAAAACCCTAGAGGAGAAAGCAGGAAAAGACCTCTCTGACCTCAGCCGTAGCAATTTCTTACATGACACATCCCCAAAGACAAGGGAGTTAAAAGCAAAAATGAACTACTGGGACCTTATGAAGAAGATAAAAGCTTCTGTACAGTAAAGAGAAACAACCAACAAAACTAAAAGGCAACCAACTGGAATGGGAAAAGATATTTGCAATGACATAGTCGGACAAAGACGGCTATCCAAAATCTATACTAGCTCAGCCAAACTCACGTCACTGCCTAACAAATGAAAAACAAATAACCCAGTGAAGAAAATGGGCAGAAAACATGAAAGCAGACACTTCTTCTGAGAAAGAAGATCTCCGGATAGGCCAACAGGCATGCATGAAAAGACACTAACCTCAAGCGCCTCATCAGGGAATACAAATCAAAGTCACACTCAGATATCACCCCCTACTAGTCAGATGGCCAATATGAACAAATCAGGAGACCTAATGCTGGAGAGAATGTGGAGAAACGGAACCCTTGGCACTGATTGGTAATGCAAAGGTGCAGCCGTCTGGAAAAGCAGTGTGAGGTTCCTCAAAAAATTAAAATAGATCCTACCCTATGAACCAGCAATAGCACTGCTAGGAATTTACAAGGGATACAGGAGACCTGGATGATAGGGGCACTTGATTACTAATGTTTATAGACAGACTTCAACAATAGCCAAATTATGGAAAGAGCCTAAATCGTACCATCAACGAATGGATAAAGCAAATTGTGGTTTATACACAATGGAATACGCTGCTAATGAGAAAGAATGAAATATGGCCCTTTGTAGCAACGGATGGAACTGGAGATGGAGCTAAGGAAATAAGCCATACAGAGAAAGACAGATACCATATGTTTTCACTTCTTATGTGGATCCTGAGAAACTTAACAGAAACTCATGGGGGAGGGGAAGGGAAAAAAAAAAAGAAAAGAGGGTTAGAGGGGAGAGAGCCAAAGCATAAGAGCCAAGTAAAACTGAGAACAAACTGAGGCGTGATGGGGTGGGAGGTGGGAGGGATGGGGTATATGAGAGGCACCTTTTGGGAATGACAATCTGTGCGGCTTGGAAACCATTTGACAATAAACTTCATATATTGAAAAAAAAAAAAAAGAAAGTAGCACAAGCAACATCATATGCTCTCTGGGATACATTAGAAAAATTCTTCAAGAAATAAGGAGCCTTGAAGAAGCATGCTTACTCTATCACTTCTCAGCACCCCAATTCTATTCAAAAGGCAGTAGGAACAAGAGACTTTATTTTTTACTATGGGCTCCATGGCAGTAAATGGGTTAGCTAACCATCACCAGCCAAATAGCCTTCAAACAGCAAGTTTATAATCAATTAATAAATTTATAAAATTCCTCTTGCTACCCCCTCTCTCTGCTATCCCACCACTCTGAAGGAAATGGCAGAAACTCTTCCCAAGAAAATGGGCCCCACTCTGGCTTCCCGAGCCAAAAACACCACAGTTCCTGCCTTAGTGGCTTCCCACAGTAATCATCCTCCAACCCGTCCAAATCAAGTTTTTAGTTTCCAGAATGCTGATAGTTGCTTTCTGTGGTCAGAATTTTTGCTAAGTGTAGGACTATAGATCAGGAGCAGACAGAATTGTGGAATGTAAACGGCTTTCTCTGGCCTCAGACATATGGGGTTACCATGCCCCACTTGGCTATGTTAGACCAAGCACAGTACAAAAACTGACCTAACGTCTTGAAAATGTCTCAGTCTCCACATCGCTTCCAAGAATCGCAGGTCAAGACATGGGCAGGGGCAGATGTCCCTTAAATAAAAAACTTGTCTTTCTAAAATGTGTATACAAGTCTAGTTTTAAATTTTCTTAAAAAGAAAATAAAAGAAAAAGAGTCATACTCACTCAGTTCTTTGCCAACTGCTGCCACAACACAGTTCTTAGGTATTTCAATCAAAGCACTGATCCCTTCAAAAATATATATGACAAAGGTCAAATTATTTTCTTCAAAGATTATATGAAAAATAAAAACATTTTCAGATTTATGCCAGTTATTTCCCATAAAAGCACACACAATATACTACATCGTGGTTCCCTGCTCACCTGCACACGGAAAATGAGTCTGTGATAAGTATTAGAGACCTAAAGAAGATGCAGATTTACTAAAGGTAGGATATGCTCTGTTGACACTTTCACTATTATGGTCAACTTTTTTTAACCAGGAATCCCTAAAGATAATCACCATTTACAAGATGACTAGCTCAAAGAAGATATAAAGAAAATATTTTGTGGATGCTTCTATGGCTTGTGGGTTACATTTTTTTTATAAGAATGGGGATAATAGCTAGTATGTTTATTCTGAAGCCAATTCAGATTATTAGTCAGTGGGAGCTTGTTATCACAATTATGGCTCCTGAAATGTGTTGACATAATAATAATGAGAATGGGGGTTTAATTACTACGGGAAGGATATAAACCAACATTTTTCTGGGTATGGGCCCGATAGCATATTTAGCTGACCTTACTGTAGAATATGACATAATATGGTAGCACGAAGACTTCTAAATTCTTAGGATTAAGTTCGAGTCCTAGAATTCTAGAAATAAGAGGATTTAAACCTCTATTATTTACTCTATCAAAGTAACTCTTTTTTCACACATATTTCTTATGTTTGGGGTGGAATGCTTGCTGTGATGATGGGAAAGGATACACATCATATGCATATGGCTAGAGTGAGGGGTAGGAAATTTTTTCTTGGAAGACATATGACTTGGTCATATCAGAATCATGGGTAGGATGCTCAAATTCATAGGAAGGTGAATGTTAGGAATAGGGTTTTGACGGTAAAGTTAACGGTACATAGTTCTGGTATATATGGGTTGTGAAATCCTCCAAAGAATAGGATTGTTGTGAGAATATTTAAAATGATAATGTTAGCATATTCCGCTAGGAAAAATAGGGCGAAGGGGTCTGCTGCATATTCAACGTTGAATCCGGAAACGAGATCTGATTCTCCTTCTGTTAGATCGAAAAGATATAAAGATAGAATTCTGAGTATCTTTTTATAGCTGAATCATGAAATGGTTGTAGAGAGACCATAATTTTTAAGCCTTGCTAGCCAAAAATCAAGCAAGCCTCATGAAAGGAGCTTCATGACATAAAGGTCTAACAGCACGGCTAACTCAGTGGCATCTGGTAATGTGGAAAACCCAAATCACAAAAGGCTCACCAATAATAACTGATAGCCTTCTGAAAGGTTTCTAACAGATTTTCTCAAAGATTTCCACTATCTCTTGAGACACTGATAAATAGGACAATACTACGATTACTTAATAGTTCTCAAAGATAACTTGCAAAACGGAGACTACAATAACAGGTAATTTCCATTATCAGACAAAATATTCTTGTTAGTCCTGATTTCATTATTTCATAACATAGTTACTAATAATTCATGGAATAAAATTCACAGGTAACCACAGGCTAGTATTAGAAATAGAAAGGAAAATATACGTGTAAATAAAGAGATATAACTCATGATAACGGGAAACATGAAAATACAATCTAGATACTACCAACATTACTAGTGATCAAACATTGAATTGAAAGGTAAAACTGAAAATCCTAGAAACGTAGTGATTTAGTTTTGTTAAGACGTCACATTACTTTTCTGATTTAGTATCTTTGTGGAGATAAGTTAGTTCTCATTGTGAACTGTAAATTCAATTCACAGGGCTCCTGCTACCTTTACAGTACCAATATGCTTAATAATATTCTTTCTAGGATGTCAATGGGTTTATTGATTACTTTTAGAAACAAACATAGTTAACAGTATATCACATAACTTCAAGGTTATTCTTTAAATTTTCTCATTTATACTTAAATAGTTTGAATAATTTTTTATTTTATTGTTTAAGATCCTTGGTATCAGAAGTCAAACTGAATTTCTTTTCTTAAAACCAAAAATATTAACCAAATTCCGAACTTTATTAGTAAGTTTGCACAATGCATGGACTTTCTAGTAAAACCAATTGTAAAATGAGGTCATCCTTTGGAATCTATTCAAAATCCAATGGCCCCACAAATAAACTCTATTATAAAGTTGGAAAGGTGTAATTCCATGTATCAATGTGCTCATCTAACTCAGTTTAGGAACGCAGACCAAGAGTATAAATCAAAGATTTTCTTGACCACTTTTGAGAAATTCTGTTATAAGGGGAGGTGAAGACAAAAGGTGGGTGGGGGAGGCTTCTCCCTCCAATTTGGGATAGAAATATTTTTTATACAACCATCAAACTGGAGAAATAAGGTTACATGATATATTCAGAACTGAAAAGAAAAACCCCTATATTAATTAATGGATACAGAGGTATTCATAGGAAGTCTCTTCGAAGATTCATTATGTCTTTTAAAGAATATCAATCATGGTTCATAATTACATTGATTTGATTTCTTACCTGTATCAGAAAGGTGGCTGGTCTTACATAAGAGATCTAATTTTCGGTTCCACACACATAGGTCATTCCCACCAGAGAGCCAAATATCTAGTCTCTGAAGAACAATTAAGCACTGAAAAATTCATTTGAAATATCAGTTTAGAATTTCAAGCATTCATTGGTGGTTTTTAAATATGTCCACAAGTTCTGTGAAACCATTCTCTTTAAAAGGTGGAGTTTAAGTTTCCCACCCTTGAATGTGGACTCTACTAAGTGACTGGCCTCTAATGAAGAGAATATAGCAGAAGAGACGGTGTGTGACTTACAAGGCTAAATCATAAATGACAAAGTGGCTTCCTCCTTGCTCTCTCGAATCACTCTAGGGCAAACACACAAGCAGCCACATGGAGAAAGATGCACATGCAAAAAAGTGAGACCCCTGGACAACAGCCAGCACTAACTTACCAATCATATGAGTCCCCTAGGAACCTCCAACCCCAGTCAAGCCTTCAGATGACAGCAACCTCATAATACACACTGAGCCAGAACTGCTAAGCTGCTCTTTATTCCTGACTACAAACACTGTAAGATAATATTTATTGCTTTAAGCAACTAAGTTTTGAGGTAATTTGTTACTCGGTAATAGATAACACACAAGGCTTAAACTTCCTTTAAAATAAAACAGAATATATGACCTTAGTTTTTATGTAACTCTCAAATTAATACCTCCTAATTCATTTAGGAAAATGAGTATTTCAAGTCTATAGAAGTCCTTTACCTTTAACAGTACTTTAAAGTCCACACCTTCAATCATACTCCTCCCACTCAAGACTCTGATTGAATAAAAGGACAAGAGTGAGGGAGAAGAATAAACAAGAAAAGGAAAAGATTCTGATAGTCTTGTCCAACCTAAGTGTTGTCTTAGCTTTTAAAACTACTGGAACAAAAAGGGTTGAAAATAAGGCAGTTTCTATTTTAAGAATCCCTACCCTAATTTCTGAATATTTAATGTATCATTATTTTGCTCCCTTTGATTGCTGAATAATATTCCATTATGTGGATATAGCACATGTGTCCATTCTCAGCTGGTAGACATTTAGGATATTTCCACTTTTGGATTATTATGTACAGTGGTGCCATGAACATTCATCACGTACAAATTTTTGTGTGGACATACATTTTCATTTCTCTTGACAATGAAATAGGAATACCTAGGAGTGAGACTATTGGGCCAAACGATAACTCTTTAAGGCAGCTCTACCATTTTACAATTCCACCAGCAATGTGTGATGGTTCCATTGTCTCCACATCCTTATCAACACGTTACTGCCCTCTAGTGTAAGTGAAATAGTATTATATTATGGTTTTGACTTGCATTTCTCTAATAACTAATGATGTTGAGCTTTTTACATGCTTATTGGTCATCTGTATATTTCTTTGGGTAAATGTCTTTCAAATTGTCTACTTTTAACTGGGTTACTTGTCTTTTTATTGTTGAGGGGTTTAAGTTTATTTATTTTGATTGACCACACATGTGCATGAGTGGGGGGAGGTGGTGGAGAGGGAGAGAGACAATCCCAAGTAGGCTCTATGCTGTCAACACACAGCCTGATGCGGGGCTTGATCTCATGAACTGTGAGATCATGACCTGTGAGATCATGACCTGAGCCGAGACAGAGTCGGACTCTTTAAACGACTGAGCCACTCCAGTGCCCCTTTATTGCTGTTTTAAGAGTTCTTTATATATTCAGGATACAAGTTCCTTATCAGATATATAATTTACAACTATTGGAGCTAATAAATGTTTGAATTTGGTTATGAATTTAAGATTTAGTATATAGATCATGTCACTTGTGGATACAGTTTTATTTGTTCCTTTCCAATATGGATACCCATTATTTCTTTTTTATTGCCCTATAACACTGAATACCATCCTTGTTTTATTCCTGATCTCAGGAGGAAAAGTATTCAGTCAGTCTTTCACCATTAATATGATGTTAGCTCCAGGGTTTTCATAAATTCCCTTTATTAGACTGAGGAAGTTCTCTATTCTTATTTTGTTGACTACTTTTACCATGAGAGGGTGCTATCAAATGCTTTCTGTGCATCGATTTAGATGATCGTATGTTTTTTGTCCTTTACTCTTACTGTAGTATGTTATAGTTACTGATTTTTCCGATGTTAAAATGGGATAAGTCTTATCTGGTCATAGTGCAGAATGTTTTTATATGTTGCTGATTTGGATTGCTAGTATTTTGTTAAGGATAATATACTTCTTCTGCTACTTAATATCTTATCAGAATTTTCCAAACTTCTTATGAATTCTCTAAATACCACTTTTAGCATATGTCTCTACCATAATTTAACTATTTTCCTGTAAGATATTTAGGATACTGCCAATCATACATTTATGAAATATATTTGCAATATACATTTCTGTTCATAAATCTCTGCCCAAGTTTTTTTTTTTTTTTTTTTTTTTTCCTTTAAAGAGTTTTCTGTAAGTAGAGTCTCTGGGTCAATTCATGTAATCATTTAAAATTTTCATTAATAATGCCAAACTATCTGCTAGGAATATCATCAATTTAATAAAAATGCTAATTTTACCACTTCCTCGCTAATACAAACCCTTATAAAAACTACTAGCTCAAAAAAATAAATAATAGCATTTCTTATATTTATTAGGGATCTGAATTTCTTTGATAAATTATCTATTAAAGAATTGAACCACTGAAATGAAGTGAGTGAAATGATACTTTTAAACAATCTCTTATGAGAAACATGATCACAGCAGGAGTATATACAACTATCTAGCTGACTAACATTATAGTAAAACCTCTTTAAAAAATAAGTAAGATACTTTTTCATGATCAGTTCCTATAAACAGTTCATGAAACAGTTCACCCAAAGAATTTGTCCACAGTATACCAAAATTTTCTCCAGTTTTCCTGTTCCCTATTCTTTCAATTCATGTATTTTCACTTGAAACCTAATAGCCTCAACTAGCAAAAATATTTGTAATGTATTTTAAAGAAGCATCTTTTCAGATCACATAAAACAGAAATTTTCATCAAATCAATATTTTAATAACTCCCTCAAAGACAATCCATTGTTAAATTGGATACAAGCATTTCTGGGCACTTTCTTCCCCCAGAAACTCTACTAAATTGATAATGAAGAATAGCATAGTAGCATGAGATGGCTACCAGAGATGCTGCCTTTTAGGAAAAAAATCAAATACTTTGAACACTGAGACACAATTCTTTTTACATTAAAAAAAAAAGTGTAAGCTCAAATAAAGAGACAAGGTATCTTTAAAACAAATAAGGTGAGACACCTGGGTGGCTCACTTGGTTAAGCATCCAACTTTTGATTTCAGCTCCGGTCCTGGTCTCATGGGTTAATGAGTTCAAGCCCCATATCAGGCTCTGCACTGACAGTGTGGAACCTGCTTGGGATTCTCTCTCCCCAACTCTCTCTGCCCCTCCCTGCTCTCTCTTTCAAAATAAATAAATAAAAACTTTTAAAAAATAAAACAAGGAAACATCTCATTTTAGAAGACCCTTTCCACCACATTTGCTGACATTATCGAAAAACAGACACACTTTCTAAGAAGACCTAAGAATTTCTTCTGTAGGAATCCAAGTAACCAAGTCTTCTCCAAATTTGTTTCTCCAACATGTGGCAGAGTTCCTATCATGTAATAAGCTCCAATTATTATTTGTTTGTAAAATCAGTGAACCTAATAGTAACAGCCAATTAGCCATATGACAGTTCTTTGGAATTAAGTAATTGATAATGTCTTATTTTCAGGACCTTATAAAAGGCAGAGAATGAAGGACAAATAAATCCATGTTTTTAGTTCAAAGTGTAAAGAAAACAGACTACCTACTTCTATAGTCATTCTACAACTAGTCATTCTACAACTTCCTAGAATTACCTACAAAAACATACTAGGTACTAACCTTTTCCTTATCTTGCTATATATTCACCCCTTGATCTAGTTCCAAATTCAAACATTCCAACATTTTATATGCTCCCTCAAAATCTAGTCTTCCAAGAATCAAATGACTATAAGTATGTATAGAAGAAATAATTCTTAAAACCTACAAAAGTAACTTCATCTACTTATTGAAGATTTTTGCTGAGAAAAAAAGACAATTACCAAAAAATATCAGCATAAGATTTTACCTTTACAGTAGACTGGAAGCATGATACTTTCTGAACTTGTCTGCCAGTATCACAATCCCATACCTAAACTTATGTTAAGAAATAATTTCTAAGTAAAACATTAAAATCTAAATTAAGAGATAAGTTTTCCAATAATTAAATCACAAATGTTACACTTAGTTAAAAAAATCTTTAAATAAAGTATATTTACCATCTATACTGTTACTAAAATTAATTCATATAATGAATTATCAACTCAGCATATCAAGCTTATAATCTAAAATATGTTTGAGGTAAATTTTACTACCAAACTATCAGAAAATGTCAAGGAATGAATGATCTGAATACTCAATATTTATAGGCATTAAATATTCCAAGTGTTTTCTCCAAAATAGTCCACCATGATTTAATAAACACTCAACATTAAGTATTTACACTAAAAACAACCAGTTCCATTAATTCTTACTGAAAGCTCCTTCAACATGCATGGCACGTTTACTACTATTATACCGATTGACAAAAGCCAGTAACAGTGTATTACTTGTACACATTCTTAAAATAATTAGAGGACCTTCTATGAGTGTCCAAGGTTAGTTTGACTTAAGGAGTATAACCATTTTCAAATTTTTTATCCCACTTCCTATGGTAACATATACATTCTACACCATGTCTGAGCACACGTTTACATATAGACATTCATGTATACACACACAAAGACACACACACACACACGCACACATATACATACACACATATGTGTACGGACAGACTGTTAAGACTATTACCTGACAAAAATTAAAAATTTACCTTCAGCATTTAATTAATGAAGTTTGTTAACAGTGGAGACTCAAGCAGCCTGGAACTGGATTTTTAACAAGAAAACTCATTATGTGAAGCAAATGACTCTATACCATTATTTACAAGTAAAGTTCATGCTGATACTGTCTCAGCTACTCATTCCTGTACTATACTAATTCAGTAAGTGCCTCTAAATATTATTATAGTACCTTAGGGATGGTCTAATAAAAACAAAGTATTTTAGGGGTGCCTGGGCAGCTCAGATGGTTAAGCCTCCGACTTCAGCTTAGGTCATGATTTACGGTCTGTGAGTTCAAGGCCCGCACTGGGCTCTGTGCTGACAGCTCAGAGCCTGGAGCCTGCTTCGGATTCTGTGTCTCCCTCTCTCTCTGCCCCCTCCCCCACTCATGCTCTGTCTCTCTCTCTCTCAAAAATAAACAAACATGAAAAAAAAATTTTAAACAAAGTATTTTAAATTCTATTTTTGGAGATTATACTGATACTAAAAGCAAAAGCTTTAGTGCCTAAACTAATATTTGCCTCAATCGAACAGTATTAATAAAGTTACACTGACCTAAACATACATAGTAATACTGTTTATGCAATATTGTCATCACCACAGAATACAGTTTACCACATGTAAATCGTACCTGGAAGTTTTTTCACCTACTGACAATGTGTCTAGAAATCACTTGAGTGAATGAGCTCATTTACAGTGTGTCAAAAAGTTTGTCCTGGTTGTATAGAAGCCCAGGAAACATCTACTCCTTTGGACTTACTCCAAAACTTACTTCACTAATGCTTGAAACTATTTAAAACAGAACTCTCAGATAAGCACAGATGATTTAAAGCAAATCTTTGATACCTTTTTAAAAAAATAAGTAAAGATTAGTTTCCATAAGTAACTGGCCATTAAGGCTTTCTTAAATCTAATTCCTCATACAAATATTAAAGGTTGAATTTTAAGGAATGTTTAAGGAAAATCTTTTATAAAGGCAGTATTATACAATGGTTGAGAGTTCTGACTCTGCAGTCAGACTGCTTGCTTGCTGCCCTATAATGGCTGTGTGACCTAGGGGCAAGTTACTTAATTACCCTCTCTGTGCCTCTTTTCTTATCTGTAAATGAGTTACTGTAAGAATCAAATGGGCTAATGTATGTAATAGGTAACATATGTAAAAATATGTGTAATATATGTTAAACAGAACAATGCCTAGCACACATAAGCACTCTATAAAACATTACTGCTGTTATACCTTAAATTTTTACCTAAAAGTATGGAGGGAAGATAATTTACTCTTTTAAAACTGCTTTTAAACACTAAATATTAATATTAACCACTGAGGAGATGGCAATTCACTTTTCTGCCAGACTCAGATGCTCAAAGAGTTCTTACGGGTTGGGGCCATTACATTTCTTTTGCTGTACAATGTGGTATAGAGGAAAATGTGAATTACTCCCCAGTCCAACTCATCTTTGTTTCTCTAAATTGAAAAGCAAATGGAGATAAGTACTTTTAAGCCTAAATTCTCCCAATTTCTCCATTTTATATAACTTGATATAATAGTAACTCTGGAAAGAACTTTAGTCATGCGGTTTCCATCAATAATAAGCCTTTAACCTATATCCAGTCTAATACTTTCAAGTTGCCTAATACTTTTAAGAAGTGTACTATGAAGGCTAAAGCAAAATCATTTTTTGCTCAAATTAATGTACAGACAAGCCCCAAAAGGCTAAAACTAATAATGTATGTACTGGTCTGTTGGGTCACTATAGGTATTTTACTCTCTTCCAGATTTAAGGATACAATAACTGTTCTATCAGCAGAGGCTGTCAAGATCAGTTGATTCTTTTCTTCACAAACTTCCAAGGAAGGAAATGTAATAATGGCTGTAATCTTCTGAGTGTGCCCATTAAGTTCCAGAAGTTTTTCTCCTGTCTGAAATACCAATAAAAATTTTAATAGGCTCATATTATATTCATAACTTAAATAATCTTAAATGACAATGTTAAGAAAAATCGCCATATACAAAATACATAATTCCATTTTTAATTACTTAGATGTTATACTTTAACCTTAAGCAATCAAATAGAATCTAAACAGGTACTGGAAGAGTAGCCATAAATAATCTTAATTATTTGCTAATAGAAAATATTAAATTCTAGCATATTTTATATGAAAACTTAAAAGAATATTTTCCTATATGGTTTTTTAGACCTGTGTAAATCAAGTATAAAAATATCAGTAAATGATCAGTAGGAAAAAATAGGGAGTCTGCATTATCCTTAAGTATTTGTTATCTAAGTCTCCACAGTTTAAATGTTGAAGGAAATAAAAGCATGACAACACAATATATACACTATATACATCCAATAATGTAGCAACTGTTCATAAAGTCAGTCTCTACTCCATCTCTAACACCAACAGCTATTCTTACCCATCCAATGTCTTCATCTATCAGTATCTCACTGATTTTTCCCAAGTAGTAAACATATAAAAATCCTAAGTAAATATAACAAACTGCCAATCGTTCCAAGGTTGCAGTGTTTCATGAATGTGGTGAACATAATGGTAAATAATTGCTTTAATCATGGGCAAAACCACTGAAAAATAAGGATCTGACAGAGTCAGACCAGATGCCAATCCAAATTAACAGTGAGAAGATAAATGCTTCAAAAGGGAATAATTTGAGCATCAAAGGATCAGGAAGAGAGGTCCTGGAAAAATGTGATGAAGCTTAAATATTTTTCACAACAAAAATTAGTCTTTTATTATATTACTATTAAAGTCAAACATGAGAATATTATACAATTTTGAAATAAAAATTGTATCTCTCACAAAAATCAACACTTGATTCATTTTCAGAATCAGTGCATAGTTGTTGATAAGTTTTGTTGAATAAGATTAAAACTTTTGTTTTTGTAATTTGGCATTTGTTTCTCAGGAAAAAAATCTTAATTCGAAACCTTTCTCTATTATGAAATATTGATCCCCATTTTAAATGGATGCATCCTAAGTAGCCTTTTTAAACTATCAATTAGTCGCATTATACTGCTATACAGGTACATACCTAGATAGTGTTTATGAATGCATCCTCAACTATATAGTCAAATCTTTAAGTTTTGTTTTTTTGTTTTGTTTTTTTACATTAAAGAGAGAGAGAAGGAGGGAGGGAGGGAGGGAGGGAGGGAGGGAGGGAGGGAGGGAGGGAGGGAGGGAGGGAGGGAGGGGCAGAGAGAGACGGAGAGAGAGAATCTCAAAGAGGCTCCACACTGTCAGCACAGAGCCCAACACGGGGCTCCATCTCACCAACCATGAGATCATGACCTGAGCCGAAATCAAGAGTCAGACGCTTAACTGACTGAGCCACCCAGGTACCCCTACAGTCATGTCTTTATTACACAATCCACATAGAATTTTTAATACACACCTGGGCATTCCACACAACTACAATTCCATCATCACCAGCAGATGCAAACCTGGGTAGAGAAAAAAAGTGAAAAAAAATCTCTGGTGACATTTATTTGCCAAAATAACTTACAAATATCAGAATTTATTAATGGTATTTTAACTTACTAATGTTAATTCAGGTTAGGTTAAACTAATTGAACAAATACTTAAGGAATATCTTCTGGGTTTTAGGCCAGGTACAAAGATAAATAAAACTGAAGATGCAAAGATAAATAAAACCATTCAGAGTTACAATGAATCAGCAGCTAGAACTGTAAGAATAAGGGAGGCCTATAACTAATCTTTCCAGTCCTTCCTGGCTTGAATTATGATTAAACCCTGACTTAAGTGATAGGAAACTAAGCTGAGGAAGAGCTTCACTTGATGGGAAGTGATATTCCAAGAATGGAACGAAGGAATCACTTTCTCAGGTAAGTTCATTATTTCTATTATTTTCTCTGCAAAGATGTTTTAATTAGTTTCCTATTTAAAGCAAAGATCTCTCCTTTTTTTCTCTTGGCTCTTGGTCTTTCCATGTAAATACCATTTTTTTTTAGTTTGGAAGCTTTGAGGTTTTTTGAAGGTTTTTATTTTGTTTTTTAGTGAAAATGCTTGAAATGCAAAGAAGTAAAGGAAAGTTTGCTTGCTGGCATGAAAAAAAGAGCTATGATGAACCCGGTTATAGCTTCTTTCTCCTCTTTACTTCCCATTCACTATATATAAAGGAACAATTATCTATACTTTGTAGAGTAGAAGTTATCCATGATAAAAACACTGTCAAGAAAAGTAATTTGTTATACAGGGTTACTCATCATAGTGACTGCATTATAATAAAATCAAGAAAGCACTGTTCTCAAGCAATGTCCCAACACAATGGTTTACAGCAATCACACTGTAAGCATGTCAAGTAATTTGTTATTAATAATGTAAGTTTGTAAACGATTCTTTAATAAATCAAAATTGATCCAAAGTTGTTCCCATAATATCATTTTCATTCACTTGAATTCAAGGTTTGCTTTCTGAATACGAGAGAGAGAAGTGGTATTATAGAAAGCCAGCTAAGAACTGTGTATAACTGGCCCCTTATAGTTAACAACCATTAATAAATGATAATCCATTAGCAGCTATGGCATTTAGAAAACATGTTCTTCCTTGCAAAACTGTTACTGTGTTTCATAAAATCTGGGTATGCCTTGAACGTCTTCATTGAAGTAAACATTGTTAGGCACAGATGTCTATTGTTGGTGACCTGACACACTACGACACAAAAATTATTTTGTTCCTGAGATTATCTGTTCCAATGAATTTTACCACTATATGAGATCCATAAAATTTCACTACTTCAGTCATATAACAATTTCCTTAACATTCCAAACTGAGCTTCAAGTTCGAATTTCTCATACTCACTTTCAAAGTCCCATAAGTAACTGCTTTCTTCACTGGCTCTGACAATTCCCACACTCAGCACTCATTTCAAAATCCTTCAATTACATCTCCTACTACAGGAGCTAAGAGATTATTCAGGAGATGGGAAATTGGTCAAATACATTCTTACCAAAGTCTATTAATAATTTAATACAGAACTACGTTATCTTTTTAACAGAAAGGACCTTCAAAACTTCCTAGGTAACTAGTGAGAAATCACCTGCAGAGTTATTTTTAAATCCATGCCTAACATTTATTCTTATTTCAAAACGAAATATATAAAAGGTCTGGAGATTTGAAAGAAAACAAAACAATCATTTTTAAATTAAAAATACAATTTCTTATTTAATAACATACATTTTTCTGAATCAGAATAGTAAACAATGCCTGAGTACCAAAAATAGTTGCTGGACGTCAATCTTTAATAGCTTATGTTTCTAGGCCTATTGATTTCTTTTTATTTGTATAGTGATGGTGGGGAGGCAGGACTCAAGGTCTTAAGTTTTCTTTGGTATAAAACATCAATTTCTATTGATTCTTGAAACTCTTATAATTGCTTTTCTCCTTTCTAGAAGACTGCAGGTTTAACATTCTTTTTCTAACCCTGATTTTTAACTTCTCATTATTGTTTTATCGTGTCTGAATCTCATGAGTTCACAATGAGAGATGATTGAACGGTTGAGAGTTTAGAAATGATAGAGCATTTCACCTCAAACTTTAATTCAATCAGTAGTGAACAAAAGTTAAATCTAAACAATGCTCAATAGTAATGCATGAAATCCCAGCCAATTTTTTATTGCTCAGAGGTCAATTACCTAGTTGGTGGATTATTCAGGCGTTTATTTTACTGTTTTATTCTTTATTTTTCTAATAAATAAGTATTTATTATTACCTCCTCTAAAGAGAAAACATGAAGCTTAAAAATACACATCAATATCACTTTGCTACATATTAGTATCTCCCATAAAATAACAAAGGGTTGGGAGATCATTCACAAATTATAATTAGCCATGCTATTAGGATGGATAATTGAAAACTAGCTACACTTCATCAGTTTATCTTAAAGTAAATCAGTTTATCCTAATCAGTCAAGTACATACTTCAGCCATCTGCAAATCAAAAATGAAAATTCAACCCAAGAATTCCTAATAGTAAGATACATTATATAATTGGTAAACAGAAATAATCAACTATAAAAAAGGACTAATTAAAATGCCAATAAGGTTTAAATGATTCAATAGAAGGAAGAATTATAGCTATATTGCATTAAAATTATAATAATAATTTTTAAAACATTCTAAATTAGTAGAATCCAAAGATTCACATCTGAAGATAAGGTTTTAAGAGAAATGCTTCTTTACTGATGGCACAAAATGTATTTAGTGAGATTCATGCTAGGTGACGAAAATATCAAGATCAATTACATGTGGTTCTTGTTTCAAGATCTTAAAATTCAGCGATTGTTTAGAAATGTGCTGTATTTCATGAAATCTAAGATATCAATTATAAGACATTCTATTATTTTATGGATTAAGATAAAAATACTGCCAATTATAACTGAAAGTCACCATCAGATATATACTGTTTCCAAAATAGGAAAAAATAGTCTTCTTAGAATCAATATAATAATTGCCATATTTATAAATGTTTATAATGTGGCACTTTCTAGTCCAACAAAACTCTGATTATCTCCAGCAGGTTTAAAGCACTAAAGAAATGTTTTTTCAATGAATGAGCAAACATTTAAGTGTTGCAAGCGCCCTGTAAAATAATCATTCAGTTTATTAACGTAACCTCATTTTTTTTCTTTTATCATTGTTAATATATCTACTGTCACAACAAAAAGTAAAATTAAAAAATTTTTAAATCCAGCATCCCACTCCACACATGGAATTCCTTTTATTTTTTTCAAGTTCCTGTCCCATATTTATGTATAATCTTCAACATGAAACCACATCTTTAAAAAAACTCAGACTATACAATTAAATGACTAAGCAAAAAACTATATGCATGAAAAGAAGTTTAACAAGGTGAAGCATGATTTAAAGACCTATAAAAAAACTTTTAGAATGTCCCATCTTTTCCTCCCCTAATCATGAGAACTAAATTTACCATAAGAGTTGATGATTCACTCATTCATTCAAGAAATATTTATTAAACACTATATATTAGGCATTAAATATAATTATATTTGATAATACATATTTGATATTGAAAATAAAGATTAAAAGGATAGTTCTTACCCTTGAAGAACTCAGTCTACATTACTAAGTAATGCTACAGGGTCCACATCATGAATCCATTGAGAATTCTCATTTATACTCAATTTAATTTATAGAAATCATTCCTTTTAAAGGAAGGTGTTTAACCTTCCCTTTGAACATCTTAGAGAAAGTGCTCTCATTCTTGCCAACTGTGAACTGAAATGTACAGCAAAGCTTCACAAAGATTTGTATAAAATATTTTCACAAGAATTCCTATGTCTATTACCCAAGTGCTTATTTAATAGTTCTTATTCATTTGAATATATTTCAATTAAGTCAAAGGTGGCTACAGATACCAATATAACCTTAGAGGATATAATGAAAAGTACAGTCCATAAACCTGCACATAAACTTTCCTGTATTCAATATCTACATAATCATAAAGCACTTGAAAAATAAAAACAGAACATTATTATGGCAATACAGAAAATACCTATAGTTAACTAACTTCCCACATAATCCACAAATGTAATACATGATGCAACTAAAGTAGTATACATTTTTTATAATAAAATAGAGTTGAAAAATGGTACTACAATACCAAAACCAAACACAATTGAAAATATACAAAAATTTCATTTAAAATAGATTTTTACTGGGGGTGCCTGGGTGGCTCGGTCGGTTGAGTGACCAACTTCGGCTCAGGTCATGATCTCACGGTTTGTAAGTTCGAGGCCCACATTGGGCTCTATGCTAACAGCTCTGAGCCTGGAGCCTGCTTCAGATTCTCTGTCTCCCTCTCTCTCTGCCCCTCCCCACCTCATGCTCTGTCTCTCAGAAATAAACACACATACATACATACATACATACATACATATACATACATAAATAAAATAGATTTTTACTGGGGCTCCTGGGTGGCTCAGTCATTTAAGCGTCTGACTCTGGGTTTTGGCTCAGCTCCTGATCTCATTGTTTGTGAGAGTTCGAGTCCCTCGGGCTCTGCGCTGACAGTGAATCTGCTTCAGATTCTGTTACTCCCCCTCTGCCCCTCCTCTGGTTGTGCTCTCTCTCAAAAAAAATAAACTTAAAAAAATAAAAACCGAAATAGATTTTTATTTATCTTTTTGCTAGAACTACTTGAAGAAAATCAAAGAAGTATGTAGAGACCTGTAGAGAAATAAAAGGGAACTTGAAAGCATTTTCATGACCCAGAGACGCTGATGTCATTGATCCTTTCATTAGATTTACTTGAACATGATTTTTTTTTTCCTTAAGAAAAATGCATACATCAGGGCACCTGGGTGGCTCAGTCGGTTAAGTGTCCAACTTTGGCTCAGCTCATGGTCTCACAGTTCGTGGGTTAGAGTCCCGTGTCAGGCTCTGTGCTGACAGCTCAA